GACCCTGCCACGTGCAGGGCTCAGTGTAAATAAGGCAGCAGCACTTAATGAACATAACCAGATCTGAATCTGAGCAAAACAGCTCCAGACATTTAGTGTGCCTGGATTCTCATATTCAGCTGAAACTGATACCTCGGTTATGCTCATCTGTACTTGGGCATATATTGTAGCTCCGAAACTACATCATCTTCAGAGTAGGCAGAAGTAAACTCTTAAGTTGCAGAAAATTATTGCAACACATTTATTTTTAAATTTAATTTTGAGTTAGTCACCTACTGCTGTAGGAAAAACAGTAATTTTCTGATTTACGTAACTTATGGTTAAGGCAAATTGTCCAGTGTCTGCAACCGGCAATTATGTAGGTTTACTAAAAAGGTCATCACATTTGGGGGGGGAGCAGAATGTTTGTAGTGAGACTCTATCTAGCTAAAGCAACAACCTTGTGTAAAATGTAGTTGTTAAGCTTCTTGAAGTTTACTAATATTTTTAGTAGTCATTCAGCCATTAGGATTTTGCTGAGCTTCAGTGTTAGCTTAGACCATATGATGGCTAGATTGGCCATTTGACCACTTTAATTCCGTGTCTTTGATTTAGCAGCTGATTTCCACACTAGAAATTACAATTTTCTGATCTTTGACATTATATATAATTTTCTTTTCTGCTGCTCAGTGGTATACCTTAAGTACATTGTCACCCTATGGAAAATCCAGCTCAATCTGGCACAGTTTCCCATCTTGTCCCTTTTGTTATGTAACAAAAAAATAGTCTGATTTATTGACAGGAGATTCCAATCATGGCTTCTTCAGAAATGCAAAAGCTATACTGACAGGTCCCTCATTGCATAGAACAGTCAGGGGACTATTCCCCCTTTTTCACGACAGTCACCTGCAGTATTTTGAAACTCAAGTTCGACATCACAGACAGCCACTGCTGGTTTCACAGCGGGTGGTTGTGCAAGTTAAATGTGAAGGTAGGGTACCAAGTGGGTACTGATAAAGTGCCAGGGTGCAAGTTGATGAAAGGGCCAGCTATGTGTTTACCAGAGTCTGGTTGGGAGGAGGGATATGATCAGGTCCCGGGGGGCTTGGGAAATTGGATCCAATGGTAGAGCAGGGGAAATTGCATAAAATGTTTGACAGAGGGTTGGGGGTGAAAGGGTTTTGGTCCCAGGCTTAGAGGTCGGGCGGGGGTTGGACTAAGTATCTGGTTGTCTAACTTTTCCTGCACATTTAGTAACTACAGCAAATCGCCCAATAGAATCTTAAATTTTTTGGACAGTTCCTTCAGAATCCGAGATAACAAGTTGTAGAGCTGGACGAACACAGCAGGCCAAGTAGCATCAGAGGAGCAGGAAAGCTGACGTTTCAGGTCTAGACCCTTCAGAATCTGTTGTGATGGGGATTTTGCAGGGTCCACATGTGCAGCTCTTGACGATGCTTAAATAATTATCTGACCATTGGAAAATTTAAGCTATTACTTCACGGTATTGGAATTGTCTGCAATGCATTTTAATTTGCGATCGATGAGGCATTGTTAATTGTTATTTTTTTTTCAATAATCTCTGCAATTCCCATTTTCTGTAATAAGAGATCACTTACCTCAATGGTGTTTACACTATTAAATCCAACACAGTGGCATCATCCAGATTTAAAAAAAGAACTGGACCCATGGGTTTACTGCCACGATATAGGAATTGTATTTTTGAGTAACTGTTTGGGACGTCATGTTTTTTTTTAGTTTTATAGAACCTAAAGTAAAATGTAACACCATTTTATCAACTTGCAAGAATATAAATATAAGTAAAGCCTTTGCTGTTTATTATAAGGATAGGAGCCACACGTCCACCTCCTGATGGTGGAAAACATGCATTGAAAACCTCCAATACGTGAAACCATAGTATTCTGATCCTGGAGGAAAATGAATGTTGTGATATAAACTGAGATTTATATATATTTTTATTGTCATTTATTTAAGGTTTGAATTGGTGACACTTGGATTTTTGTGCTTCTGAAGTTAATGATTAACTTGTATGTCTTTCTCTAGCCATAATGATTTTTTTTTTAAGACCGTGAGAGAAATATGTTGGCGGCACTAATGTGCTTTTGTTTACCTTGGGATGTTTTCCAACTTAGCAAGGCAAACCATTAGGCTTTAAGGTCTGTTAGAAATTTTTGTATTTGGTTTCCCTTTAAGCTTAGGCAAATCACCTCATAGCTTAGAGGGGCAGATTTTTTTAATAAGACTTGTTTTGGGCAGTTCTGTGAAGTAGTTGTATAGATCAGCATTCTAAATGAATAATGCAGTAAATTTATATTATCTTTTTAGAGCAAGGCATTAGTCCCAGACTAGAAGCGATAGGATGAAACCTTGAAGAGGTTACTTGAAGTTGAGAACATTTAGGCTCGGGTATGATAGCTCTTGGAGCTTTCAGCATTTCCAGTCTAGGAGTTGAAGCCATTGTTACCTTAAGCCTATTGAAGTATTAGGAAAATATCTGTTTACTCGTGCTTTTGAGTGCTGTGCAAGGTTTTTTTTTGGTTTGAATTTGTAAGTGTGTTTTGGGATTAATAGGATTGTATCTTTTTACTATGTGTTTAAAACTATATGTGCTAAGTAAATAGGTTGGTTTATTCCATTATGTCATCTTTTCATTTGGTTGTTAACTTTCTCTTTTCATCATTAAAACAAAATTTGCAAAGTTGCATGCTTTTCTTTCTGTGAAAGGCCACCTCCTTTAAAACCAAAACAGAACTAAATGTGATCTATCAAGCCAGGTTTCAGTTTGGGATCTGACTCGTCCAGTAATATCAGCTGCATCAGGAAAAAGAAAATACAAACCAAGGGAAATAGGCAATGAAATAACTAAAATCTTCTGTCCAATTTGATGTGTTTAATTGGAATGATAACTAATAGTGTAGTGGTGGGGATTCCATTGTGATATTTTGAATTTTTTTTTGTTTTTGTCTTCTCTTCTTGGTATGAATCTGGATCTGTTGGGAAAAAGCACAGTAAGGTTGACAGTGTATTGGAACCTAATGCAATGTGACTCACTTGATAGCTTAATAATTGATTCAGAGCCCATTGTGGTTCCCCTACATTTAGCAAGCTTCTTGTGCTTTAGTGTGCCTGTGTTTGTTTATCTTTTCTTTTAAAGTTTTGCATTTGCCACAGCATGTTTCTTCTGTCAATTGGGCATGTGGGCTGACCAATGGCAAATGGAGTTTAATATAGATAAGTGTGAGGTGTTGCATTATGGAAAGTCAAATAAAGGTAGGACTTTCATGGTGAATGGTAGGGCCTCCAGGAGTGTAGCGGAACAGAGGGAATTTGGAGTTCAGGTGCATGGGCCTCTGAAAGTGGAGTCATAGGTAGACAGGACAGTGAAGAAAGCTTTTGGTACACTGGCCTTCATCAGTCAGGGCATTGAGTTTAGAAGTTAGGAAGTTATGTTGCAGTTGTACAGGACGTTGGTGAGGCTGCACGTAGTATTGTTTGGTTTTGGTCACCTTGCTATAGGAAGGGTGTTATTAAACTGAAAAGAATGCAGAAGAAATTTACAAGAATGTTGGCAGGGTTCAAGGGACTGAGTTATAGGGAGAGGTTGGACAAGCTAGGACATTTTTTTTCTTTAGAGCATAGGAGACTGCAGGGGGATCCTGTGTGTATAAGATCACGAGAGGCATGGATAGGGTGAATGCACTCAGTCTTTTTCCCAGGGTTGGGAAATCGAGGATTCAAGGGTATCAGTTTAAGGTAAGGGGGAAAAGAATACATGGGAACCTGAGGGGCACTGTTTTTACACAGGGTGGTACACATATGGAATGAGATGCCAGCAAAAGTTGTTGAGGCGGGTACATTAACAACACTTAAAAGGTAATTGGACGAATACATGGATAGGAAAAGTTTAGAAGGATATGGGCCAAGTGCAGGGAAATGGGGTTAGCGTGGATGGACATTTTGGTCGGCATTGACCAGTTTGAGCCGAAGGGCATGTTTCTGTGCTGTAGGACTCTATGACTCTAATTGTTGGCGTCCCGTGGTAGAGCCATTGCAGGTTTCTGATTTTACCAAGTTTAGTGCTAGAATAGAAGCAATCTTGAGTAAGATAGGGAAAGGATGGAAAGGCTGGGAGAAAAGACTTTTAAATACGGACCTTGTGATCTTTCCATTAGGATTCCACTCAAGTGAAAGGAGATTGAATTTTTTGATAATTCAGCAATGCTTTAGAAAGTTTTTAGTTTGCTTGTATGCGTCTTGAGGCCCAGCCTAATATGTAAAGAGATTTGTGTTATAAATGGGCTGTGGTTGTTGAGTGCCCATGGATGCCTCTGAGTGTAATTTAAATACATTTTGAATAATTCCATAGTTCATGTAGCATAAAAACAGAAATGCGAAATACTGTTTACTGCAAGATATGTTCGCAGATATAGACTTGTGAAAATCTCAAACTGCATAATTATGAAACCATTTTCATGCTGTACCGGATCTAAATATCTCACTAAATAAGTGTGTCCAGCATGATTTGGAAATATTATACACTGACCAAAGTCAGTCACAATTGGTCATGATTAATGTGATTTCTTTTCATATGATTTAGTTTATTGTGACTTTAATGTTTTTTTTCTCTATTATTGCTTTCATCCTATTGGTAACTAAGTGGTGTTGTGCATTGCCACTACATGCTGCACTGCAACCTGGTTAGGCAGGCAAAACAGCAGTTTCCACAGCTGTTTTATTTCTATTTGGTTCCTATGTACCGTTTCCCAGATGCAAGGCAATTTATGCCTCTTTGTTTTCTCTGACTTTTTATTTGGGGAAGTGACATTCTATACCCTCATGTAATCTTAGCAAGATTGCAAGCTGAAGAAGGCTGGGTGAGTTATGTCATTATTTATATGTGCATCTGTGCTGTTGAGCCGAATATATTTTGTTGCCTAAGCTTACTTTATGTGTAAAAAGTTATTTTCTTTTCCATTTATTTGAATGATCTTTGTTTGCAGCAAATCCAGTTTGCAGATGAAAAGCAGGAGTTCAGCAGATTCCCTACCAAGACTGGTCGGAGGTCTCTGTCACGTTCAATTTCTCAATCTTCCACGGACAGCTACAGCTCAGGTAGTAACTCAAGCCACACTTTTTTCTTTTCTTCATCCTTATTAATTAATTACTTGTTTTTTCTTTTTCCCCATCACTAATTCTGTTTACTTTGTTTTCTCCACTGTGTACAGTTTGCCTTTTCTGTTTATAGTTTGCATATCAAATATTCAGGGTAACTCTTCTTTTATATAGCTTATAATAAAAGAATTGGATGTTTAGTAAGTGGATATGTGCATTCTTTCGAAAGTACTGCTCTTTTTTGGTTTATGCAAATGTGAAATAAGCAGTTTTTCTTATTAAGATAGTTTGGAAAGGCTGGGCTTGTTTCCTTTGGAGTTTAGAACTTCAGTGATCTGATTTGAAGTTTATAAGATCCTGAATAGTCTCGACAAACGGGACATAGAAAGGATGTTTCCTCTGGCTGAGTCCGGAACTCGGGGACATTGTTTTGAACTTGTCACCCTTTCAGTATAGAGATGAAATATTTTCTGAGGATTGTGAGACTTTGGAATGCTGTGCCTCAAAGTGGTGGAGGCAGAGTCATGGAATGTTTTTTTAGAGAGAGGTGGATTGATTCTTGTTTGGCCGAGTAATCAAACGTTATTGGGGTAAATGGCAATGTTGTATTTGGAACAAATGCAGATCAGCCATGACCTCACGTAATAGTGGAGCATATTTGAGGAGCTGAATGATTTAATTCTGCTCCTGTATTTCATATATGTTCGTATGCTGGAGTATTTCTCGGATCAAAAACTTAGGGTGGAATTTAATGCTCTCACCGTTGGTGTGTTTGGTGGGGTAGGTTTAATCAAGTAAGGCGGGATCTGTACCCTTTGCTCTCATCTAGTTCTTGGCAGGAAGGTGCTTGGATTCCATTCTTGGCCTGACAATGGTTGAGGCCTTTTTAAGTAGACAATTGATCCCTCTTTGGGCTAGTCTCATTCATTTGGACTGTCACTGGAGCTCTCCAAAAGGCAGGCAGGGCAGTTTAAATGAAGGGACATGATGAGCAAACTTGCCTGAGGCTGTTTGTGGGTTTCCAGAGTGAAAGACTTCTCATTGAGGCATCAGGTGCCTGACTGGAGGATTTGGCATCAGAAAGGTGTCTGCTGTATGCTACATCTCTATCCTTACTGATGATACCCCTGCTCCCATCGCAACCCCCAGCTCATCATCATTTACCTGTGGCCTGAGATTGGGTCACTAGCTTGAGACTTGGGTACTAATTGCATTGGCAGCAGCCATCACTCTGACACGGCTGCTAACGTGAGCCACTGGCTTCTGGTTGACAGCTCCTGGTAGACAAGATTTCAATCCTCGGGCTTCCTAGGTGCCAGGGAAGGAACACTAATGTCCAGTAAAGTGATGCACCACAGGCGTTCCTGTAAAAAGGTGATATGGGGCTCATATAAGCTCTGTAGCCAATGGTTGAGATCCCTGTCGCTTCATTAAATCTAATACCCAGTTATTGACTTCCAAATTATTTTTGAAGTTCAATTTTACAAGAAATGTTTATTTGTGTAATGTTAGAAAACCTAAGAACTTTAAGTTTGGAAAAAATCTTTGTTGGTTTTAGTCATCCTTTGAATATTGAACCACAGGGGCTGAATTAGAGAAATTGTACTGCCTTGGCATAGCACAATGTCCTGACATGTCTATTAGACCTATTGATTTGCATTTCCAGTTCCAATTGATTGCTTCAATTTATAGCAAGTCTTGCTAAATGTTTTATGCTGTAAATTATTGCTCCTTATCTCTGTTTGTCGTCTGCTACATTCAGTATTTGAAACAGGTGCACTTTACCATGAAACTAAGTTGAGTAACCTGTGAGGTGATTCTTGACTATGGAGACATTCTGCTGACTGTAAACAAGTTCATTTAATTCAGCAGGGCAACACAGCAATCACTGCACTTTGAAAAGTAGTTATTTATTATTGACATATGCAGCTCCACTTGCATTAAACTGTCAGATATATGTAATGAAAAATGACCTAATTTCTCTCCTGATCTCCGCTAAATCAGGTCAAATAGAAAATATTTGGTTTTTCTTTGTTATTCTTTCTTTTGTTCCTTTCTATTTCGTTGTCTTTTTCCATGTTTTTCTTTTTCCCACTCGTTTGTTTTCCCTCCCTTTATGGTCTTTTTAATACAGTTATGTTTCCAATTTCTATTATACGTTGTCACATTTTTGTCCTAAATAAAAACAGAACTGCTGATGCTGTAAATCAGAAACAAAAACAAAGTTGCTGGAAAAGCTCAGCAGGTCTGGTAGCATCTGTGAAGAAAAAAAATCAGATTTAACACTTCGAGTCTGGTGATCCTTCCTCAAAACGTTATTGTACTATTGCACTGTGCGGTGCTCTGTCTATTATGCGTTGGTCTGTGATCTTGGGCAAGACATTTTTCTAAAATTTAAGGAACCATTCAGTAAAAGTGCAAGTTTTCAGCTCCCTCAGTCTCCTAGTGTTTTCTTGGCAGACATCCTGGTTTCCACAGCTGTTGTCCTGATCATGTAGAGAGTACAGTCGTCTATCTCTGCTTTCTCTCTCTCTCTCTCCCTTTTCAGGTATCCTAGCTACACTTGGCAGCTCCTTGATGGGACGGTCACCAGTGAGACCCAAGCCGTTATGGGGTGCACTGCTTGGTAGCAGGATTTGTTTTCAAACAATTCTATTATGAGGGAAGAGAGATCTGGATGAAAACATTTCACCTATTGCCCTTGCTTCTGTCCCGGGGTCTGTTGCACTCCTCCAAAAGAGAGGATTAGAATGCCCAAGTATTTAATGAGTCAGTAGAATGATTTGTTTTGAAGGTGATTATGGATATATTCTTTCTGCATCCATTCCCAGTCTCACAAAATGGCAGAGATTTAACCTTAACCAAACTCTACACAGTTTGGCATTGTTTTGAGCACAGTTCTCCATAATTCTCAAATACACAGTATTTGCCTGCAAAATTTGTGGCATGTAATTTGAGCAATGGTTCCTTCATATCCCGTTTCTACTGCCTTTTTGTATTCTTTTACTGCTGAGCCATTTACATTTTTGACATTATTATTTGCACATTGTCTTTTTCTGTTTAGCTGCATCCTATACGGACAGTTCTGATGATGAGACCTCCCCAAGAGACAAGCAGCAAAGCAATTCGAAGAACAGTAGTGACTTTTGTGTGAAGAACATCAAGCAGGCAGAGTTTGGACGCAGGGAGATTGAAATTGCTGAGCAAGGTACGTTAGGGCAGAGATTATACTGGGTGCACCAGTAGCTTATCCTTTCAGAAATCATATCTTGAAATATAAACTGAATTAGTTACGGAGGTTGCTTGATGTTATTTGGCAGTAAGTAATCAGATACACTGCACTATAATATTGAATATTTTTACTGATTTCTTCTACATACTCTGTCCCTTCTTGGTCCTTCAACAGACCTCTCATCTTTGTGAGATGCAGGATATTATTGCAATTAAGTACATAATGGCTGCTGAGTTGAACGTGACTGGTAAATTCCCTCTGGTCTTGCATTTCACCCAATTTCTTGGTATTTGCAATACATGCAGAACCAACATGCGTATTCGATCATAGCTTCTGCCTTGTTACTAATCTGTATAAATTTGAGAGGTGTTGTTCAAGTCACAAATGAAATGTAGAATTTTCCCTATCGGGTGATGTACTGAAACAGGTGACTGGTTGAGACCCTGTAGTATGCCCATCTCATGACAGCATCTTTAGTTTGTCCGCTTGGGCTAGTGATCCCAGTGTTTATACTTGCTTGTAATGACAGTTATTGCTGTTGACTTTCTGGCATGTCATACATTGCAAAATTGCAGTTGAAATCAGTGACATTGCAATAGTGAGAAGGAATACACAGGGATGTTAGTTGGTGAAGATCTCATAAATTTGAGTATGAGGAGTTCTGGATATTTTTCTAATCAACCTGGTTGGAAAATTTGTTACATGCCTTTGGAGCTGGTGAGGCTTGTAGTGACAAAGTCTCCAAAGTTGTGCAGTGTACCACTATTAGTGCTAACTAATTTCAGACTGTGAAGAAAATATGCTAAATTTACACCCCTCTGTTTAGTCTGTTTCTGTGCTAGAATTAATTGGTTTATGAAGAATTTTGCGAACTCCAAGCATTAATGCTTAAAAAGGCACGTTGCGTCTTGGGTATAGTTTTTTTTTTTTTTTTTTTTTTTTTTTTTGTTGCTATTTTGAGTAGTTGGTTCAGCTGTGCTGGCCTCTGTTAGGAAACCTCAGACCACAGGTGTCTTAAATTAGACCTGAGAAAGAGTATGTGTTTTCATCAAAGTTGGTGTAAATCTGTGCTTAACATAAGGTTAAATAACTGGCAGCTGACCTGTGGAATATTTTTAACATCATGCTTCATAAGTAATTCCATCTAGTAACTTCGGAAGGTGAAAGTAATTGAAAATTAACTTTTATATTTTATTAACATAGGGATGACCCCATAAATACTAGTCCAAAGAACTTTGTATGCTGCTGAAACTGCAGAGTCTGGGATTCTCTGCCTTTTTATATCTAAGCAGTATTTCACCTCAAAGATGTCAATGCACTTGCTGGTCACTGTATGACTTCAAAAGGCTTATTCATTTCATGCTTCAAAAAGCTGTTCATTTCTCACAGGATCTCACCCTTGCATTGAGTTTGTGTTAGAATATTAAACTTTTTATTTCTTCATTTTACTAAGATTATTTACAGGATTAAATTCCTGTAAGTTGCTTTCAGTAGTTTAGCCATTGGAGTTAAATATCATGGGGTTGATCCTCACTTGTGTGTGTTTATTAACCTAAGCTGATAGGTTAGTGCAATGCTGATTGCAGTACTGCATTTTCAGAGATACTGTTACTTTAGCCAAGGGATATAAACTGATGCACTGATTAATAAGACCTGCTTGTTTGATGGTCTAGATTTAGCATGCAGAATCACAATTGTTACTGCACTGAAGGAAGGCCTTTTGGCTGTATTGCCTCCTGATCTCCTGCCTTCTCCCAATATCTCTGCATGGCATTTCCATCCAAATAATCATCCAACACCTTGAATGCCTCAATTGAACCTGCATCTACCACATTCCCAGGCCGTGCATTCCATAACGTAACTACTTGCTACTCCATACCTCTATCCAGCAGATTTTGAAAACTGCATCGTATCTTCACTTAGCCTCCAAAGAGAATATTCCCAACTTCTTCAATTTATCCTCATAACGGAAGATTCTCATCCTGGAACTATTCTTGAATGATTTTGGTTTTATTGCTGACCCCCAAAATTAAATCGGATGTGCTGATACCAAGGAACCATATTGATGTAATTTTCATGCATTTTTAACCTATCCATGCCAATTTAAGTTCATTGGCTGGCTGATACCTGTCTGCACTAGCTCCGTAACAGTGAGTGTGCGCACAGGTACCAGAATACTGCCCTGGAGGTGCAAAGAAGAGGCAAGGATGGGGTGGTGGTGGAGGAGGTATCACTCTTATCTTCCATTTTCCCCCTCAGCAGCAGCATCTGATTGATCTTGTGAGGAGTCCATTTGTTTGGTTTTCTGAGGTGTTTTGGGTAATTCACTGTAAATATTAACAACTGAAACGCCGAAGGTAGGGGAAATGAAGCAGCATTTGCTTTTCTAGGGTTAGGTGTCTGGTCTGCCGCTCACACTTTAACAATGTGCAAAAAAAACCCACTCAAAAGCAGGGTCGTTGTACTTAAACCAAATAAGTAGAACCCTAAAGTTATCGGTATTGCAGTAGTTGATGGCTGAAATAAAATACAGTGACAATCGGACGTTGTGAGGCTTGTTGGATGAAGTTCCAATTTTTCTACCTCCCCAGCACTGTTCTGCAGGTCAGCTCATTTTCTGTAGTTTTTTGTTGATCTCCCTGGTTTTTGGCTACGAATGGTTCTGGAACACGTTTTGTAATAATGTTAACGTGCACCAATGCATTGGACTATGGTTTTTAAAAAAATCTGATTTAAATAAACCGTATGCTTAGCAAATTATCTTCTTTCAAATAGTTCCATTTGGTTATTTGATAATTGCTAATTTTTCCTTCCAGAAATGTCGGCTCTTGTGGCACTTCGAAAACGAGCACAGGGCGAAAAACCACTGGCTGGAGCCAAAATTGTGGGCTGCACTCACATTACTGCTCAAACTGCGGTAAGTAATTGGTACAGTAGCTTGGATAGCTGTCAGTGGATTAAACTGGTCAGACATCATAAACTTATTTCTGGCTTCCCAAATTGTCTGGTGCAGAAAGCCATTGCTTAGAAAAACAGAAATTGTACAGCCTCAGATCACCATTGACTGATAGGAAGTGAAATGGACCAGCTGTACAAGTGCCAAGGCTAAATAATGAAGATTTATAGTATGTTGTCATTATTTGGGAACTTGAGTTCTAAAATTTGAGGTAAATGGGCTTTTGGCTTTCACTTCTCAAAGTTTTTTTAGGAGCCAGAAACTCTAGTGGTGGGTTAAAGCAGCATTTCTAACAAATTTGTGACTTGAGACAAATGGCAAGCTACTGTTGAGACAATTGCTGAAGTATTTACTAGGTTGAGCTTTTATGACTTGGAGAAACGAAGTGCTGAAGCAGGTTCATTCCAGAAGACCAATACCAGCAAATGTGCTTTTTATCAACATGAAAGTAGCTAATGCAACTGGAAAGATCCCGGTTTCTTTTTTTTTAGAAAAAGAGTTCAGTAATTTTTGAGTCAGGAAGATATATTTTTAAAGACAGATACAGCAGTCACTGTTCTAAATCAGAAACAAAGCCAGAAATTGTTGGAAAAGCTCAGCAGGTCTGGCAGCATCTGTGGAGAGAGATCAGTTAACGTTTTGGGTGGAGTGACCCGCCCTCAGAACTGATGTCTCAGTTTCGTGGTTATTTGCTGTCAGAAGATCAGTTCTTAGTAAGATATTTACACCTAAGCTATGAAAAGCACAGATACAACAGCAGAAATATATAGACAAAAAAAAGGGCTCAAATTGTCTTATGCAAGTGGAAAACTGGTTTTAAAATGTGTGGAGTGGATCTTACAGCTGCATTGAAAAGTTGCTATCTTTGATTATGTGCACGTGTGGGAATTGTATCTTTTAAGTAGGCTTCACTGATGTGATCAGTCTAACTCTCCAGTTAGTAACTATCAACGCAGATTTTTATGTTGGCTTTAGAGGGATGCCCTGGCTCTAGTTGCTTGGCTCTTGCCTGGTCAACATTAACTCCATAACTAAGCTAACTAGATTCAGTAAATCATTCCCACTATGAATCCAGAATAAAAGCAGTTTGTGTGGCTCCGTTAACGTATTAAATGGTGGCAGCTAGTTGCAAGACCGTAATCCAATAAAGACCAGTCAATGGCATTAAGAACTATGAGAGCAAAGGTCCAAGGCCAGTTTTATTTGCATCTTTATAGGTGCTGCTGTTTAATTGCAAAGTTGTTGGCTATTGTTGATAATGCGTAATGATTAGGTTCCTAATAGAAACTTTATTTTGTACTCATTTAAAGATTCTGTCCTTCCATTAAGCCAGTGCCATGCTCTTAATGTCCTATCAATGCTCTTTGTTTGCTGTATTGATTATTGGATTTTACTAAGTTTAGCATCTGCACTATGTTTAATTGTAATGATATATCTAGTTTTAATTGTGTGCTTCTGAAAGAAAGGTTTCCATTTATGTAGTTTTTTTCCATGACTTCAAGGTGTACCCTCCTTATGTGCTTGATGCAGGTCCTTATAGAGACCCTGGGAGCTCTTGGAGCACAGTGTCGTTGGGCAGCCTGTAATATTTACTCCACACAGAATGAGGTTGCCGCTGCACTTGCTGAAGCTGGTATGTTCATATTTTACTTGTGTACTAAGTTTGTGCTTTTGTTTTTCTACTCCTTTGCTACTAACCTGCTGTTTGCCTTTTGACTGCTGGCCAAAGGAAAACATTTAACTTGTCAGTTTTCTGCTGTCCCTTTTCTCTGAAGGTGTTGGCTCTGAATACTGAGGTGGGTAGGTGCTGATTGCCACCTGTACTTTATCTAAGTATGATGGACTATTTATGGGACTGTTTTCGCCAGACCTGAACTCTTTATTCCAGCAGTGCTTTCTTGCTTGAACATTTTCTTCTTTTTATTAGGGGAGCTGAGGCTAATTTTAACTCCTGAACTTTTGTCCTGATTCAGATCAGTGAATGGAACAGACTGGGGTTTGAAAGCATAGTCTTGGTTTGTGTAGCTAAACTATTCATAGACTTGCTGCTCCATTTAATAGAGCTGATTTATTTTTAAAATACCCTACACATTGGTAAACTCAGTAGCACATTTGATAACTTGCAGGCTTTGACATTAAGCAATCTGCAAAATTTCTGTTGCTTTATATGAAGGGAATATTAATTCTGTGTCAGTTGTGTATTTACTTGTATTCAGGTGATGGGCATTAACTGGGGTTTGCTTGTGTTCCTCGAGATTGAAGCAGACTGAAACGGTGGTTCTCGGGTTTGGAGGTGCATTTATGTAATGTGTCTCTGTGAACAAAAGCTTATGTATGTGAATGTTAGATTCTGTTTACATCCTCCAGTATCTGAAATAGAACAAGATGCACCCACCTTTTTTCAGAAGTCTAGGGAACTTAACTGGAGGTGGGCAGGGATCAAATACAGAGTTATACCCCAGAGTCCTGCTGGGATTGCAGTCCAGGAGTAATTTTACCCAAAGACAGGGCCTTGGCTTGTCTGATGCTTCATTCTGAGCCATTTTCCTGGAGGTTCTTTTTGTCAGTGGTGGTTTACTATTGCTTTCCACTATCAAGCTGAAGAGGAGGAGGCAGGTCCTAAATCCACCTCGACCAGATTAAGAATTGAACGCATGCCATTGGTGTTCTGAATCACGGATTGCCATCTAGCTAATTTGAGCTAATCAGCCCTCACTGCTGGAATTATGACATTATGCAGGTTTCCAGATCAAGTAGCAACTTGTTGTTATCAGAGTTCAAAGCCAAGCCCTTCAATGTACTGTAGAAATGGAATAGCCACTTGCACAAAACAGACTTGGGTAAAGCTTTTGTGTTTGCAATTTGGTGACAACTGACTACTAACCAGGCTCTGCTTGATCAGCATATCGAGCAATAAACATAAAAGGTGAGGTTTGGGATTGTAGTGTTTCAAGTTCTGTGTCAAAATGTGAAAGCTTGCAATTGCACAGAACATGTTTGTATTTGCTGCAATATTTGCTTTTCAATGGTCTATTTAATTTTATTTTAGTTCTGGAGCACTCATGCAAAGGTTCTATAGAGTCCATGCATTGTCCTGCCTGTTCCACTGATGATCTTGAGCCAGGTAGTGACCTATTGATCATTAGTAAAAGGTTTGCAAGACTGTGAATATTTAAAAATATCTTTAGCTGCTTGAGTGTGGGGAATAAAAAACAGCTTTGAGTAATGTGGAAAATAACAATCTCTAGTCTCTTTTTCTTCTCCTGCCTCTACCTCCATCCTACTCCCACTCCCATCTATCCATTTTAAAGTAAGCCACAGTGAGCCTACATAATGTGGTAATTAAATAAAGCTAACTTTATCAGCAAGTTGTCAAAATAAAACCTTCTGTGAGGTTGAGCTTGCCCAAAATACTGTGAGCATTTCCAAAGGTGGGCAAAGTCTCTTTGCCAATCAGTTTGTGCTCACTGACTTCAATTAACTCCTTGACCTGTATTGCCTTGATTTTCTAACTTCCTACCCTTGTTTTAAATTCCTCTATGCCCTCACCCCTCCATATTTTTGAAATCTCCCCTAGGTCTATAACTCTCAGAAATCCATATTCCTCCAATTTCTCCCCCACTCAGTCCCACATGCTGATGCCCAGTTTGAGTTCCACCAGGGCCACAGCTCCTAACCACATTACAGCCTTGGACAGAACAAAATTCATTTCTATAGGTGAGATGAGAGTGACTGCTCTTGACATCAAGATTGCGTTTAAGTCTGACATAGAGTCCTAGCAAAATTAGAGGCAACAAGAACCAAGTGAAAGTTGTCTGCTGGTTGGAGAAATAGTGGCACAAAGGAACTTGGGTATGGTTGGTTGGTTTGTTTTTTTTATTGTTACGTGTACCGAAATACAGTGAAAAGCCTTGTTTAAGAGTGGTAAAGCCAGATCACGGCAAGCAAAGGATGTATAGATTGGAAAGACTTAGAGGCATACACGTTATGTTATTTGAGGCCAGAGTCCATTCAGCAGTCTAACGGCCGGAAAGAAGTTGTTTGTGAACCTGCTTGTGTGTGTTTTCGGGCTCCAGTGTCTTCTGCCTGATGGAAGAGGCTGTATGAGGGCATTAACAGGGTGCGATGGGTCTTTAATGATATTGGCCGTCTTTCCTCGGCAGCAAGCCATGTAAGTAGAGTCCAGGGATGGAGGGTTGGCTTCCATGATGGTCTGGGCTGTGCACACCACCTTCTGTAGCTTCTCACAGTCCTGGGCAGAGCAGTCATCATACTAGGCTGTTATGCACCCGGACAGTATACTTTCATTGATGTATCTGTAGAAGTTGGTGAGGGACCTTTTGGATATGCCAAATTTCCTGAGCTGCCTGAGGACGAAGAGGTGGTGTTGTGCCGCCTTGACTGTCGCATTTACGTGGGAAGTCCGGGACAGGTCATCAGTTATTGTCGCTTCAAGCAACTTGATGCACTTCACACTCTCAATCTTAGTTCCATTGATGTAGATGTGGGTGGGTTCTCCTCCTTTCTTTCTGAAGTTGCTGATCAGTTCTTTAGTTTTGCTGGCATTGAGAGACAGATTGTTTGTTTGTTTTCATTGCACCACATCACCAAGACGTGTATCTTCCATCTGTATTTTGACTCATTGCTGTTAGTTCGCCATCACCAGAGTGAGATGGATTTCATTTGGAATTTGGCAACACAGTTGTAGGTGTACAGGTAGTACAGTAGGGGGCTGAGGACGTATCCTTGGATGGGCTCCAGTGTTGAGTGTTATTGTGGAGGAGGTGTAGTTACCTATCCTCACTGTGGCCTATGGGTCAGAAAGCTGAGGATCTAGGTGCAGGAGGCGGAGCCAGGGCCATGCCGTTTTGAGATCAATCTGGAGGTGATAATGGTTTTGAAGGTGGAGCTGTAGTCAACGAGGAGGAGTCTGACATAGTTGTCCAGATGTTCCAGGGATGAGTGCAGGGCTAGGGTTATGGCATCCTCTGTGGACCTGTTAGATCGGTAGGCAAACTGTAGGGCATCGAGGCAGGCTGGGAGACTGGAGTTGATGTGGGTGATGACCAGTCTCTTGAAGCACTTCATCATTATTGAAGTCAGAGCTATTAGGTGGTCGTAAATGTGTTTTCTCGGGTATGGGGATGATAGTGGTCGTCTTGAAGCACATGGCAACTTCGGCTTGTAGGAGAAAGGTTGAAGATGTCAGTGAATACCTCCGCCAGTTGGTCCACGCAGGATCTGAGTGCCCAGCCGGGGACACCATCTGGGCCCGTCGCTTTCTTTGGGTTGACTCCCCGGAAGACTGAACTAATCTTCTGAAGCTGTAATGGAGGGAACAGGTGTGCCTGGGGCTGTTGAGGCAGGCGTTGCCACGTCGGTGCTATTCTGCTCAAATAATGCATATAAAGTATTGAGGGTGTCTGGGAAGGATGGGTCATTGTCTGCTGTCTTGCACTGTTTCATTTTGTGTCCAGTAATGTCATTTAGGCCTTGCCGTAGACTGTGGGAGTCTGTTTGGTAGGTCTGGGCCTCTAACCTGGTCCAGACTGCCACTTGCCCTCCCATTTGGCTTTAAGGAGGTCATAATCTGGATGTTCTGTATTGGTCTGGATTGCCTGATTTGAATGCTGCATGTCTGATTTTTAGTAGGGAGTGGATTTCCTGGCTCATTCGGTACAACATCGTGGGCCGAAGGACCTGTACTGTGCTGTACTGTTCTATGTTCTCATTCAAGGTTTATGGTTGGGCAACACTTGATTTGACCTCTTTGGTTGTTAGAGGCCAGTCATCCCAGTACCAAGGCATCTCTGGAGGCATTCCTCAGCGGTGCCCTAGGCCCAACCATCTTCAGTGGCTTCATTAATGGTTTTACCTCCATCATATGGTCACGAGGGGATGTTAGCTGATTGCTCAACATTCAGTGATGACTTGGATACCAAATCAGTCTGTCTCCAAATGAAGCAAGACCCCAGGCAATATCCTGGCTTGAACTGAAAAGTGGCAAATAACATTTCAAGCCACACAAATGCCTCACAATGACTGTCTCTAATAATCTGACAATTGCTCCTTGTATTATCATGACTGAATCGCCCCATTATAAACATCTGGGGGTATTACCATTGAGTAGAATCTTATAGTTCAGACTTTTATGAATAGAGTGTCTACAAGAGTGGGTCAGAGGCTAGGAATTCTGCAGCGCCTCAGTTCCTGTCTGCCCAAAATCTTTTCACTATCTACAAGTTAGAAGTGTGGTGAAATACTCCCAAACTGTCTGCATGCGTGCAACTCCCAAAATGCTCGAGGCTTGATACAATCCAGGACAAAGCAGCCATTTGATTAGTGCCAGATCGACCAGTATCCAGTCTGTCCACCACCAATGCTCATTAGCAACTGTATGTATTATTTTCAAGACACACTGCAGAAATTCACCAAGGCTCCTTAGACAGCGCCTTCCAAACTCGCTGACCACTTCCATCTAGAAGGACTAGGGCAGTAGATAAATGGGAATGCCACAACGTGAAAATTACCTTCAACACTCATTGTCCTGACTTGGAAATGTATTCCTATTTCTCTGGTGTCACTAGATCAAAATCATGGTTCTCCCTCCTTTTAGTGTTGTTGGTTTACCTAGAGCAAATGGACTGCAGCTACTCTAGAAGGCAGCTCATCACCTCCTTCTCAAGGGCAACTAAAAATGGGTAATAACTGCTGGCCCAGCCAACAGTGCTCACATGTCGTGAGTGAAGTTGAAGGAAACTAATCTATCCTAATATTTCCTTGTGGTTTGGTGTAAAATTTTGTTTGATACCCCACTATGAACTGCACAGGGGCATTTCATTATTAAAGGTGCTATGTAAATCTACATTATCATCGAATTGAAATTGAATTAACGTGTACAGCTGAACTTAACAAAAACACAACTGTGCCTGCCCATATTAATTTAGCTCCCTAATGCTTACTGATTCTTTTAACATTTCCATGATAATTCCCCTCTCTCTCTTTCTCTCTTTCTTCCTCTCTTTTTCTCTCCCTTTCTTTCTCTTTCTCTCTCCCTCTCCCTCTCTCCCTCTCCCCCATTTGGGTTGCGGTGAGATGCTTCAGGGAGAGAAGACGAAAATAGTTGCGTCTGTCATTATGGGCTGTCTGAATGTTTACTAATAGTTTCTATCTATTTCAATGCAAATGTGTTCTCTTAACTGCAATTGCTGTGTGGCCTGCACAAACATTTCCCAGTGAGGGTGCCTAACTGACACACAAGTCGATGTATATCTTACACTGATATGCAGACTTGGAAACACAGTCTAATCCCATGTCTTGGTTTCAGCAGTGGGGTTCTAGCCACTCTAATGGTTTGTCTGTGTGTCCACTTTAGATGCAATGTTTAAGTTTGTGTATGAATGCTCTATCAGGTTACTGATTGTTTACACTAGGACCATGGTAGTGATATCTGCAGTAATTGCATCTCTTGGGACAAACTATAAGTCCCCCTAATGTAATGTAAATATGATTATCTTATCTGTAGTAAGCTTCAGAGTGTTTGGCTCCATTTGTATATTAGCATAAAAGCAGCTTATTAAGAAAAAAAATTGAAGGCTGACATGACCCCATTTACCCTTAGCACACCCCACTCTTGTTTTTTTTAAAGAAGTTGACAATCGTTCATGAGGCTAACGAGAAAGTAGTAGAGAAATGACAGGCTGAATAGTAGAAATACATGTTTTTTAGGTAGAACTTGTTGAGAAAGTACTGTCTTCTCTGAGCTTACTGGCAGCTAATACTGGTTTGGTAGCCAACTGCTGTGGCTGAGAACCAAACTTATTTATAATTTTCCATTTGGGACATTTGTTGAAATTCCTAAGACCGGTGAGTAAAGGATCTATCTTTTTTAAGAAAAAATATCTCGTTCGCATCAGTAGCTGGCCTTCATGAGGCAGGCAAATTTATATTGGATTATCACAAGATGTACAGATACCAGAGGTTCCCACACCCTTTAAGGTCAATGTAAAAGCTGATGCGTGAAACTTGAAATTGCCGTTTCACCTGCACCACCTCATATGCTCTGAAAAAGTTGACAGCATACCATTCTTTTCACATTCCTTCAAAAAAGAATAAAGCATAACTTCTGTGAGCAAATTTATGAATGTCAGTCAGAAACTTGTGGTATTTAAATATTTAGCAGTCATATTACTAATTCAAAGTTTGTTTAATGTATCATACACTGGTGAAAGTTGGCATCTTGCTTGTTTGAGACTGGTGTTCAGTTTATATAGATGACTTTTATACTTACTATGATAGTTAACAAGTATTTTATATGCGATTTCAATTTACTCAGAATTATGACTATCTCAATGGTCATTTTATGAGCTCTGATTCTAAAGGAACTCTGCATGGGACAGTTTAGGTGATTTCTGTGTGCACCCTGGGTATGTTTCCTGAACCTTGTTTGGGCTGTCATGTAGCAGTGGCACTTATTTGGCACTCGCTCATTGATGCATCTAGTTTTGGAGACTCCAGTATCTTAGCAAAGCAACAAACTGCAGCTTTAAGCAGTTGCCCTGATCTGGGGTTCCGATTCTGCTGCTATTCTTTTAAGGGGCAGAAAAAGAGAATTAAAAAGCCACTCCATTACATTTTGTCACTGGAACAGGGAATGCTGAAATTTTGGGGGTATTCTTTAGAAAAAATACTTTGTGTAAACAGAAATTGTTGATTTAAAAAATAAAAACGAATGGGCAGGATTATATGTATGTAGGTGCATTGAAATCGTGATCGTGACCAGCTGCATGGTTTGTATATGCATAATTAAATGGGCAGCTAGTCATGTTTTTAGTAGATATATTGCCTTATAAATAAGTTAGTTCAATTGGACTGAAATTCCTTTAATGAAGGTGATAGACTTCTCATTTTCCTTTTCTGTTAAATAAAACTTATTGAAACTACTTCAATATTTCACTTGCAAGCATGCTTACTAAAGATATATAATTTTACTAATGGGTCTTTAAGGTGATTAAAAACCAGCAATTTTCTATTTTCATTACAAGGAAAATTTTCCCCCAAGGGTTCTTCAAACTGCTGGACAATTGTTATTAGGCATGACCTGTTCCTTCATTTTGCATGCTGTTGTTTTTTTTTAAAATGTATTAAGCTTTTTACAATTGAAAATATTTTATTTTGTCATGAACCCAATGTTATTACAAGCAAGTCTTAGTTTATTTAAAGTACCTTGTCTGTGTGTGTAGTAGTGTGTAACTGTTTGTGTCTGATGACCATAACACATTAAATGAGCCAAGCAAGCATTTGGCTGTGGGTTTGAGCCAAATTAAGCATTTTAACTAGGTTGATAGAGTGTGATACTTTTTGAAGTGCTGCATTCGTGAATGTAGGGTCCTGTCTATTTGAGGTGACTGTTAAAGGTCTAAGGAAGAAAAGAAGGATCGCTATTCTGGAATATAAAGATCAAATGCGCTGCAGATGACAACTTTTTTAACTGTCTAATCAAATGAATTCTTAAAGTGCAGTTGATTTCTAATTTGACAATCTCCCCATTTGCAGTATATCTATTTTATATGTTTTAAAAACAAAGAATTGTGCTGTATTTTAAAACAAAGTGGTGGAGAAATACAGTGCATTGCTCTCTGCATAGATATTGTCAATAGAGTTAACGTTACAAATCAAATTCAGCCCATCTTTGGAGTAGTGTTGTATCAGCACTCTTTATCAATTTAGTAAAATTTCCTTGCTATCCCCAAATAGGTATGGTTAACAGGCATGCTTTGCGTTTATAAAATATCATCTAACTGATGTTGAGTAGAAACAATGAATTTAATTATATTCGTCTTTGCAACCTTAGCGAAGTGCTCTCACCCATGTAATGTCACCAGCTGATCCTTTCAGGTTCTCGTACTGAACACTGGAGAGCCTAATTAATTGTTTTACCTTTCCTGCTGTGAAGCTTTTTGCAGCACATATTTTGGCAGTGGTGATCTGATAATCATGGGAAATCTGTGTAACCACTCAGTCAAACTGTGTCCACTTTTGAATTCTTTTTAAGTTTGTTTATTGCTCAGTTTCAAATGTGCAGGCATTTATCCATAATTGATTTTCTTTCACTCCCTACCCTCAACCCACTGCCTCAGGATTTGCAGTGTTTGCTTGGAAAGGAGAGTCTGAAGATGATTTCTGGTGGTGCATTGATCGTTGCGTGAACATGAACGGCTGGCAAGCAAATATGGTAAATATGCCACTTTTTTAATCAAGTTGAGGACTGGAAGTTTTGATCATCAGGGTTTCTTCTACCAAAGAATTCTGTACTCAAACTTTCTCCTAACTTCACTTCTTCCTGCTCTTTCTCATTAACAATTTGAAGTTAATTCTTCATTGCTAACTCCCCAGTCAGAGGAAATGGTATTTCCCTACTCGGTTTATCAAACTTTTTCAGAATTTTGAAGCACCACTTAAATCTTAGCCACCTTCACTCCATCGAAATAATCGCAGTAATTCAAACCTCTCTTTGCAGCTATAATTTCTAATCCTTGATATGCTGGCTTTATAGACTATTTTACAAAATGAGCTACCCAAAACTATACATACTATTCTCAGCTGCAACTTGTTTTGTACAAATTTATCGTTACTTGTAGTTACTTAGAAAGACGCTTGTGTGCAGTTTTGGGCCCCTTTTCTCAGGAACAATGTACTGGCCCTGGAGCGGGTTCAGAGGACATTCACGAGAATGGTCCCAGGAATGAAAAGCTTAACATATGACGAATGTTTGAGGACTTTGGGTCTATACTCGGAGTTCAGAAGGATGAGGGGGGGATCTAATTGAAACTTACAGAATACTGAATGGCCTGGACAGAGTGCATGTTGGGAAGATGCTTCCATTGGTAGGAGAGACTAGGACCCGAGGGCACGGCCTTAGAGTAAAGGGAAGATCTTTTAGAATGGAGATAAGGAGAAAAATCTTCAGCCAGAGTGCGGTGAATCTGTGGAATTCACTGTCGCAGAAGGCTGTGGAGGCCAGGTCATTCCATACATTTAAGATGGAGATAGGTTCTTGATTGTCAAGGAAATCGAGGGTTATAAGGAGAATGGGGTTGAGAAACTTATCAACCATGATTGAATGGTGGAGTAGACTTGATGGGTTGAATGGCTTAATTTCTTCTATGTCTTATGGTCTTACACTTCTTGAGTATTGCTCAGGAAGGAGACGTATTATTAAAGATTTTGGTGTCTCATTCATCAGGCTAAAGTCCAGAATGCTAATTTTCAAAGGAAACCAGGATTTACACAGCGTGAGAAATGTGGTGTTCTGGCATCTGCCCTGATGTGTGAAAGATGCGAAGTTTTGTAAGCAAGTCAGTTTTTTTTTCAAGCAACTATCATTAATACTTTCTTCTTTAGAGCACAAGCCCCATTAATCAAACTGAAAAGGCTGTCTTTAATGAGTATGTGTACGTGCCTTTCTCCTTTCTGAAGAAAGAAGTGGTGCCTGCACTGGGAAACCTTTTTTCACCTCAAATCCATTTGGAAAGGATTGTAGCAATATGGAGTTTTGTTTTTTTACACCAGTTACTCGTGTGTTCTCACACTCAAGTTGCCAACCTGCATCAAATGATTTTTATGTAACATGCCTATGTCTGGGCGCATGTGGTTCCAATGTGTTTGAAGTAGGATTTTCATGCCACAAGTTGTGGCAGGTTTCCAGTTCAGGTCCTAGAGTCTAAAGGACAGTGTGCTTAAAGTTATCTTAGAGGTGAATGAGCTGTAAAGGTTTCCAAATCAATCTGGTGTTTCACGTGCTTTCTTGATAATTACAAGGTTGCAGTAATAATAAACTTTCAACCTTCTTAATGAGTACCAAATCCTTTTTTAAAAATAAATCTTCATAATACCCTTTGTTCTCTTCCTGTACTCCCAATCGTTCTCTAGCCATGTGGAAATATGCAAGCAGTTACAACTCTTCAACCTTTTCTCATTCCCTTTTCTGAAATGGTAATGTGGCCTTGATGGAATAAGTCTGGGGAGTGGAGAGCCAACATCCAATTATTTGGTTCTTTTAGACCTTCTGGTGTGACTAAGCTTTCCTTAATTGGAATAAGGAGATTAAATAGCCTGAAAAATATAACTGAGAACTTTACAGAAGATAAATAGGTTTTGCAGTACAGTAATTATTGATTTAAATTAGGCTGCAAAAAGATATACAACAGTATTTTGAAACCTGTGATATCCATTTCAGTGCAGGTTTCTGTACGTCCCTGAACTGGAATTATTGAAACATTGAGGTTTTTTTGAAAAGATGAAAACACAACTATTCAGAATTGTCACTCAAATCCAAAGTACATTTTAAATACTGTAGCTGTTAGTTAATAGTGCCCCCTGGAGGAGATATTCTGCTAATACATTGCATTTGATGCATAGAAGTATTATGGAATGTGTTGAGCATTGCATAGAAATTTATTTCAGGTTGTATTGCCATTTAAGACTTCTAAAATCTGGGAATGCAGGGTTGTTTAAAGAGGAGTGTAGAGAGGAGTGACCTTGTAGCAGTTGAGATTAAATGTGTTCTTGCAGGATACGTTATCAAATGATTATTTTATAGGCCCCTGAACCTTGTTAATTTTCACCCTGGAAAAGTAAGGCATGGAAAATTTTATTCCTTTTCTTTTCTATTGTATAACATTGACTGAGGTAATTAAATCCACTGCAGTAGCTCCAGAGACAATTGTGCAAAATCGAGTAACATCAAAGGTTTAGTAAAGTGCTTCTTAAGAAAAAGCTTTTGTTGACTGATAATTGCAGGTTGCAAAGTATACAATTAAAATTTTCCAAGTTTCTGTCTGGTTAGTGATGGATGTATAACTGTAATACAAACAGAAACTTGATTAAAGTCACTCGCTAAAGGACTTAACACACATTCACCTTGTCTCCATTCCTGTAACTAAGCTGTACCTAATTTCCTTAACCTTCTCTCATAGCCTAAACGTGTAAATTTCCTTACAAATGCAAAAATCAGTGACACCTTTTTTTTTTTCCTTTTTTTTTTCTTTAGGTACTGGATGATGGTGGAGATTTGACTCACTGGGTCTATAAGAAATATCCCCATGTTTTTAAGAAAATCAGAGGCATTGTAGAGGAGAGTGTGACTGGTGTACACAGGTAGGGATGTTTGAAGTTTTCAGCTAAAAAGAAAAATCTTGACTCCTAATCTGATATTTTCAGTTTAAAAAAAAGTGATGGGTAGTGCTAAAAAATAGTGGCTCTGTCCATAATTAATGGAGGGACAAAATAGCTAAGATCACGAGTGCTCGAGTCCCCTGTGCACATTTGTTGAGAATACCAAAAATGTATGAATAAGTGACTTTAGTTTTTTAAAAATTCTTTCACTGGATGAGGGCATTGCTGGCTAGGCCAGCATTCTTTTGCCAATCCCTAATTGCAGTTAAGAGTCAACCACATTGGTGAATGGTCTGGAATCACATGTAGGCCAGACCAGGTAAAGATGACCGTTTTCTCCCTGACGGACTTGTAGTGAACCAGGTGGGTTTTTCCAACTATCAACAATGGGTTCATGGTCTTCGTTAGACTCTTTTTATTCCAGATATTTTTATTGAATTCAAATTCCACCAACTGCCATGGCCAGATTCAAATCCTGGTTCCCAGAACATTACCTGGGTTCTGGATTAGCAGTCCAGTGACAAATACCACTAGGCCATTGCCTCTCCACAGCTTAGTGCTTAAGGATGTGAGCTGCTTCTACAGTACTCTAGGTGCTCAACCCTGATTACAGCTTTGCTGTAATGTGCCGATCCAATGACAAGTTTAGGGACTGTGTTCTTGAGTAGACAGTTTTTACGCAACCTTTCTGAGCTGTATCATTTTAAAGGTAACATTTATTATGACCTGACTTATTAGGTTTCTGGATGAGTGTACATTTTTCTCTCATTTGATGACTTTACATGTACTAGCATGGCTTTGTGTGCGGGAAATCATCTCTTGTTAGCGGAGTTTTTTTTAAAAGAACTTGCAAAAAAAATTACAAAAGCAGAGGGGTGAACATTGTCTGTATGGACTTCAGCAAGGCATTTGATCAGCTTCTGTATGGTAAACTGGTGAGCAAGGTTAGATCACATGGAATCCAGGGAGAGCTAGCCAATTGGGTACAATACAATATAGGCTTGAAGGTAGGAGACAGAATGGTAGTGGGGGGTTGTTTTTTGGACTGGAGGCCTGTGACCAGTGGTGTGCCACAAGGATTAGTACAGGGTCCATTTTTTTTTGTCATTTATATACGTGATTTGAGTGTGCATATAGGAGGAATGGTTAGTGAGTTTGTAGATGACACAAAAATTGGTGTAGTGGACAGTGAAGGAGGTTACCTCAAGGTCCCATTGTATTCTGATCAGATGGGTCAATGGGCCGAGGAGTGGCAGATGGAGTTTAATTTCGATAAATTTGAAGTGTTCCATTTTTCTCAAATAAGTTAGTGCAGGATTTGTACGCTTAATGGTAGAGTCCTGGGGAGTGTTGCTGAACAAAGAGACCGTGGGGTACAGTTTCATAGTTCCTTGAAAGTGGAGTCACCGGTAGACCGGATAGTGAAGAGGGCATTTGGTACACGCCTTTATTCATCAGTGCATTGAATATAGGAGTTGGGAGCTCGTGTTGCGTCTGTACAGGACGTTGGTGAAGCCACTTTTGGAATACTGTGTTCAGTTTTGGTCTACCTGCTATAGAAAAAGATGTTATTAAACTTGTAAAGGAGCAGAAAAGATTTACAAGGATGTTGAGGCTTTGAGTATGGGGAAAGGCTGAATAGACTGGAGCTATATTCCCTGAAGTGTCAGAGGCCGAGGGATGACCTTTTATAGAGGTTTATAAAATTGAGGGGCATGGAGTGAGTGAATAGCCAAGGCCTTTCCCTCATGATAGGGGAGTCTAGAGCTAGAGAGCATGGGTTTAAGGTGAGCCAAATACTAGCAAATGGAGCGAGATTAATTTAGGACATCTGGTCAGCATGGATAAGTTGGACTGAAGGGTCTATTTCCATGCTGTACAGTTCTATGACTCTAGGAGTGTACTTCCTTTATCACATATGCATCTTTTGATAGAGTAAAAAGCAGTTTGGGTTTCATCAGTCAAGCTTTCAGATCAGTGAGAATAAGGTAGACTCGCTGATCCAATTTTCCAGTGGTTGCTGTATATTGACAACTGTTGTGAAGCTAATCATTTTGAAACATACCATAGATCCAATTTGCCAACCTGGGAGTTTAATTTTCACCCCTGCAGAAATTTTGTTTCATGTTTTTAATATTAGTGCCATTATTTTTGCATTTTCCACCAAATACCCTCTTGGATGCAGTGTCATTGGTTGCCCCCATAAGTGAGCTTGCATCTCCTATGGTCCACAGTGTACCCTGGATATACTTGGGTGCTCCACTTCCCTCCCACAGTCCAAAAAATGTGCAGGTTAGGTGGATTGGCCATGCTAAGTTGCCCATAGTGTCCAGGAATATGCATGGCTAGATGAATTAGTGGTGTCCTGGGGATAGAGTATGGGTCTAGATCTGGGTGGGATGCTCTTGAAAGGTTTAGTGTGGACTCGATGGGCTGAATGCTATTCTGTGTAGTTAAACAATAGCATAACTCGGAAATTGTGGTGAAAAATTCTTGTTTATACCAGCTTCAGAAATTTGAAGCTTGCATTGTGAATCCTTGCCTCCAGACAAGAGGCAAACTGGAAATTTAAACAAGGCAAAACAAGTTGTTAATTTGTATGGTTACCTGATTGAGTAGTGTGCATTTTTGATTGAGCAACCAACTTTCCTTTACTCCTTCATTCTGAAAGCAATTGAAATTTTTTTACTTAAAAATAGGTTGACCTTCAGTAACTAAATCTTTGAAGTGAGGCTCATTCAGATTTTTAAAATGCGAGTAGATTATTTGTGCTGTGAAAACAGGAATTACTCTTGTCTTTGTGTGAGAGACAGAACAAGCAAGATAGCCTCCTTCCTTTAATTCTGTAAGATAAAAAGTTAATGTAAGTGAGCAGATGGTTGGACCATTACCCTGAAGTGGGACCATAGCTGTTTGTGTAGGGAACTCTCTTTCAATGGCTTTAATGAAGCACGTGCATCTATCTTGCTTGTGGAGTGATACCTAGATCTTTAGGTGTTGATTTAATAAGCCAACTTCTTGCAGTAGTGGAGTATGTAGATTATGCAGTATCCTTTTGAATAACTATTGCTTTTAAAATGCTAGCTGCTTTAAAAAAAAGCTAATTCTAGCACTGCAGAAATGTTTTTCTTAAAAATCAACTTTATTCAACATTTACTGTGTTTCTCTCTCCACAGATCCTGCTAGACCTGCTGTGGTTTCTCCAGCATTTTCCCTGTTTGTTGCAGGTTTCTAACATCTGCAATTTTTTGTTTTTACTACAATATTTAAATTGGTACCAGACAATGGGCATAAGTTAGCAACAAATATATTTTCCAATGTAATTGGCAGATGCTTGTAATGAAAAAATGTATCGCCCTGAAAACACCTTCTGCAGACTTGTGATAGCATGTCTAATCGTATGTGCACAACGTTTTAACAAGCAAGTACTACCATTTAGTTCATTTCAGATCTCAATTGTGCATTTAAATTTAATAATTGAAACACTGTTCATTTAATAATATCTTTCCATATGCTCCTGAGTGTATTTAGCCTTGAACTAGAAATTCCACATTCATTGACAAGGAAATGTTGTAGTACAGATAGTTGCGTTCTTGCGTGACCTTGTGTTATAGAAAATCACATTATAGGGAAATCGCTATACCTGTACAGCAGAAAGTTCGCATTATCCAAATAGCGTCTACTATTCATCAATTGTGCTACAGCCAATTTGCGTTAATGAAACACTCATTTTTGCAGAATTACCTGTAGTGATTTCAAGTTTTCTTGACTTCCAGTGGTTGAGTATTCTTTCGTTGACAGATTTTTAAGTGCTCTATCTCCTTTGTAGCTTCCTGCTTATCCTGTTTAACTTGTAGCTTTCTCCACCAAATCCCCTTGCAGACTCCTCCTTTCCACCATTTCCATAGTTGCTGAGTCATGCAGATTGGAAACAGACCATTGGTTCCGACCAGTCCATACCCAGTCAAATCCCAAACTAAACTAGTCCTGCCTGTGCTTGGCACAAATCTGTCCAAACATTTTTCTTATTCGTGTACTTATCCAAATGTTTTCTAACCATTGTAACTGTATCTGTATTCACCACTTCCTCAGAAATTCATTCGTACATGAACATTTTTTTCTAAAAAAAATTGCCCCTCATATCTCAAATCTTTCTCCTCCCACCTTTTTTAAAAAAAAGTCCCCTAGTCGTGATCTCCCACCCTAGGGAAAAGAAACTTGTCATTCACTTTTTCCATACCCCTCGTGATTTTATAAACCTCTAGAAGGTCACCCCTCAACCTGCTATGCTCCAGGGAAAGAAGTCCTAGCCTATCCAGCCTTTCCTTATAACTCGAACACCCCATTCTTAGCAATATCCTGGTAAATCTCTTCTAAACTTCTCCAGCTTAACCAGGGCGATCAGAACTGCACACAGTACTCCAGAAGAGGTCTCACAGCATCTTGTACAGCCTCAATGTAATGTTTCCCAACTCGTATTCTGAAAGGTCTGAGTAATGAAGGCAAGTGTGTTAAACGCCTTCTTAACCACCCTATTTATGTGATGCAAACTTCAAAGAATTATGCGCCTGAACCCCTAGGTGTCTCTGTTCTACAACACTACCAGGGGCCCTACTTTTGATTGTCTTGACATTGTCTGTTTTACCAGAATGCAATACTTTGTATTTATCCAAATTACATGCCACCTGCCACTCTTTAGCCCATTGACCCAATTGTCAAGATTTCTTCTGTAATCTTAGGTGACCTTCTTAACTGTCCACTATACCACCAACCTTTGTGTTATCTGCAAACTTACTAAGGATGCCTTCTTTCATCTCATCTACATTATTTATATAAATTACAAACAAACATGCAACTAGCAATGATCCCTGTGGAACACCACTGGTCACAGGCTTCCAGTCTGAAAAACAATCCTCCATCACCACCGTCTACCTCTGACCGTCAAGCTAATTTTGCATCTGGTTGGCAAGCACACCCTGAATCCTATATGGTCTAACTTTGCTAATTAGTCTACCATGCGGAACCTTGTCAAAGGCTTTACTGAAGTCCAAGTAAACAGTGTCTACTGCTGTGTCCTCATCAATCTAGTTTGCTTCCTCAAAACACTCAAGTTTGAGACCAGATTTATTTTGCACAAAACCATGCTGACTATCCCTCCTCATTCCTTGCCTCTCCAAATGCATATAAATCCTGTCTTTCAGAATCACTTCCAACAACTTAACTGCTACCAAAGTCAGACTCCCAGATCTATAGTTCCCAGCTTCTCCTTGCATCCTTCTTAAACAAAGGCACAATATTAGCCACTTTCCAGTCATCCAGCACCTCATCCCAAATATTTCTGCAAGAGGCCCTACATTTTCCTCCCTAACTTCCCACAATGTCCAGGGATACACTAGATCAGGTCCCGGAGATTTATCCACCTTTGCAAAAGTAGTAGTGCTGGAGAACTTAGGAAATATAATGTGAACTGTTTTCAAAACATCTATTTATTTCCCTGAGCTCTCTAACCTCCATTTCTTTCTCTACTGTAAAAATGGATCTGAAATATTCATTTTAATATTTCTCCCATCTCCTGAGGTTCAACTTAAAGACAACCTCTTTGATCTTTAAGGGAGTCCTACTCTTTCTGTGCTTGCTCTCTCACTCTTAATGTACTGTTAGAATCTCCTCCGGTTACCCTCAACTTATTTGGATTAAGGACATCTCAACTGTTTGAAGCATATTGTTAACGGGGAGAGTCAGAAACTGGAAGTTATCCTACACATTGGTAGGAATTACATAGTTAATGAAAAGATTTAGGCTTTAGACTGAATAGAAGAGGTTGGGTAGAAAATTTTTAAACAGATCCTCAAAAGTAATAAGCTCTAGTTTACTCCTGGTGACAAACTTGAATGAATTAATGAAACAATAAATGACATAAATCAATTACTGAAGAGGTGTAATATTCAAGGATTCAGGTTCTTGGATTATTGGGATCTCTTCTGGGGCAAAATGTCCTGTTCAAAAATGATGGGTTTCCCCTGTTCTGGAAAGGGACCAATACCCTGGCAGAAGATTTGCTAAGCCCATTAAGGGAGACTGAACTATTAGAGAGGGAGTGTGGAGAGTAGATGGAAGCAAAGTAAATAAAAAGATGAGAATGGTTTTGATTCTGAAAAGAACGAGTTAGTTAGAAAAGACAGACAAAAGTCAGTCAGAAGGAAGTAACTGAAGAATTAGATTGCATTTTATTTCAATGCAAGGGGTCTTGCAAGTACAGTTGATGAACTTGGCATGTTTGAGACATTCTTAATCTTACATTCTCCTTGCAGCCTTCCACTTGCCACACACCCTTCTTGCAGCTTCCCATCCACCCCTACCAGCAAGTGATATTCCCTTGGTCCCCTGTAATAACTCCTGAAACGTGGGCCAGTATTTCATTCCACCCACCAAACAGCTCTGCCTCTTTTTATAGTATCTGGGAGATTAATGCTTTCTTTGGTTTACTGGGGATTGATAACTGAGGATATTGAGTTATTTTAATTCTGCTCCTTCTGTGGGCATAAATACATATGGCATTATTAAAACATGACTGCCTCGCTTCATAAATGATTTTGAGAAAGAAAAAACAGCCTTTGAGAAAATCTGAAGAGCTGGTTGTGGTTTGGTGGGTTTGATGGTTCAAAGAAGTGGAACTGTTTATATAATAACTAAGTTGTGTACATTGGTTTGTCACAACCATTGCTGTAAAATGTTTCATATGTGGGATTTCAATAATCCCTATTAAAAGAGGCAGAGTACAAAAACAAAAAATTTGCTGAACCTGTACTGTTTGATCTCATTATGTCTTTGATTTCCAGTTGTGGGTAGCAGAAGGATTTGTCGATTTTGTATGTTGGGGGTACTTCCTTTAAAGGCAGTAAGCCTGAGGAGATTTGATAGAGATAGCTAAATCTTTCAGAATTTTATGTAGGAAAAATAAATAGATTTTTCTACCAGTGGCTTATCAAAAATAAGGTGTTCCAGATTTAATTTCATAAATTGATCAGTAAAAGAACCAGAGACAAGGTGGGGAAAATATTTCCAGGATGAGTGATTAGGATTGTAATGCACTCCCTTCCTGATATTATAGTGAGTGCAGATTCATACTGGTGTGCAAAAGGAAATTGCATTAAAATACTTAGAAAATAGTAATGAAAAACAGGATTGGGGGTAAGGTGGTGAGACTGACTGACTGGATTTCTCTTTGGGAATACGAAATGGTGCAGACTCATTGGGCTGAATAATCTCCCTTTGTGCAACATTTTATCTACCCTGGAGATTGCAGACTCTTCTTTGGGAGGGTCAACGAAGACCTCCTTTGTTATGTTGGATTGCGAAGGCTCTTGATGGAACCTATTGAGATTAAAAGATGAGCTGAAATGATGGGCCTGCATATGGGTGAAACACCACCACTTCTCTTGATCCTGCTGTGAATGTATTCTTGTATGTACAGACTGGGCTAAAAAATAACATGAAACAAGACAGGATATCAACTGTTTATCACCAGCGTTTGTTGTAACTATATCCTTACCATTGATTTAAGGGTTAGAAAAATACTTGTTTGTTTGTACTAGTTAAATTTTAATCTTTGTTTTATTTCAGGCTGTATCAGTTGTCTAAAGCAGGCAAGCTATGTGTTCCAGCCATGAATGTGAATGATTCTGTTACCAAACAGAAATTTGATAACCTCTACTGCTGTAGGGAGTCCATCTTGGATGGGTAAGGAATAGAGTGGTTCAATTTTTTTTTTTTGGTTTTGGCAAGTTTTTATATACAATTAACTTGTGTGTCATTCTCTTAATTATATAGAGAAATGCATTTATGTATAAATATATTTCCATCTTACAAACTGAAACATTTGCTTACAAATTTGGAGCAAAAACTTTGAATAAGTGAGGCTTTTGTTCTGTTAATGTTGACAATTCAGAATGACCAATCCATGCACAATAACATAAGAATGGTTCATTTTAGGGGCTCTTGTGTGCTTGTTCCCTTTGTGACCACCACCTCGTGGGGGAGAAAGAAAAGTATTTTCTTGTCCGAATCCCTTGCTGATTCTCAACTATCTAATCTGTGTATATGTTCCTTGAACTAGGCTTTATTTACCCACCCAAGGGTGAGTCTGTAATCTCCAGGGTAGATAAAATGTTGCACAACACTGGGCATGTTGAATAATTTTAATAATTACCATGCAGTACCTGTTAATATTTGGTTTAATTATTTGATTAGAGATCCTTTAATGTTTTTGAGGGGGCTTAGTTTTGATTTTGGGGTATACTTTGCTGTTTTTGTGTTAGTGTGTGCTTCCATACCCTGCTGTTTCCCCCACTACTAAGACACTCAGCAGGAACTGCTTCTTCCCCAGCTCAGGGACATGAGCCTTTTTGGCATCCGTTCCGTTGCACCAGCTTAACATCAGCTGGTCCTGCTGTCAGGGGAGTCGGAACTCACTTAACACTAACTGACTTAAAAGCCCCCCTGTGTGCTGAGAGGAATTTATACTTTTTTAAGAAAAAATTGGATCTCGTATCATTATTTTGATTAAAGTTACAAACCTGCTGTGCTCTTGCAGTTCAAAAACTATGAATTTCATGTTCTGCTTCTGTGTTCTGTTGCCAGCTTAAAGAGAACAACAGATGTGATGTTTGGTGGGAAGCAAGTGGTCGTGTGTGGATATGGAGAGGTAATGTCCAACCTAACCTCTACTACCTCTGTACATAAATAGACACTCTTAAAAATCATTCATGCAATGGCTTTTTAAATGTATTATAGCCTGATTCATCTGATGACTTTTTTATTTCATAGTCCAATTTGCAATTTAACTTGTGTTAACTTTAATAAATTTGTACCCATTCCAGGTTACTGTAGTTTAGTGATCTTGATTCTTGTAGTTTTTGCATGATTGCTGTGTAACTATAGGATATCTGGTTTGAAAGCAACTCTCACATGTTGCTGCTGATGTGGAGTGTGTTGCTGGTGCTGTTGCAGCAATTATGCAGAAGTGGAAAAATTGTCGTGACATCTGAGCAAGCTGTTAGTACATGAAAATATTGAAATTTGTGTCCTTCTGGCAGTAGGAAAACAACCATCACAGATGGCAATCGATTCATGTAATGTAATCGATGCCTTTAATTTCCTTATGTTCCTTGCTAATACGAAACTGAAGTAACCCCAGTAACATGTTTTGGTGTTAGGTGTGCTCTTAAAAGTTCTACTAAGCATTCCCTCGCTTCTTCCCCCTTTTTCTTTTGTCAATGTCCATGTGTGGAGCCCGTTGATAATCTCTCTCATAGAGAAGCTTTCTCATTTTCAAATACCTCACCTTATCTAGTGAACGTGTCTATCAAAAAGAATGCAACTCTCTTCACACCCTCTTACCTATTTTCTGGTTCCAATAGAAGGATTGTTGTAGGACTGGGTATGTCATATCTGTCACTCAACCTAGGAATTCAGACACAGCTGCAGGTGTGGAATTTTCTTTATGCAGGGAGATCTATCAGAATAGCAAGAATCTTGCTTTACTGGATCCTGGGAGAAAAAAGAAGCAGTGTTACAAACTCTGTGTGGTTAAAAATGTTAGATCAACAGAAATTGCAATTTGAAATTAAAGAAGAAGTACTTTAACATTCTGAGTGCAAAACTTTGCTACACGTTTTAAGAAAAAAGTCCTTGTATTGCACGTTAGCTTGTCTTTTCATTCCGATGTTTTTAAGGGGGAGGTCGATAAATGAGTGTGAAAGGAATAGAAGTTTTGACTGACTGGATTAGATGAAGAGGGATGACCTTGATCACTTGGGCTGAATGGCCTCTTTCTTTGCTGTATCATCTCTTTAATTCTGTGTAGGTAATGGCTGACACTACATATTTCCCGTACCTACAGTTTTCAGTTCAAATTTGTCTTGTGTTTTTTTTTAAAACTTTCTATACTCTGCATCTAGCTCAAATATGTTTTAAGCTTTGCTTTTGAAATCATTTGCAGTAAACGCCACAGCAATAAAATAGTTCTGTAGACTATATCTTCTGTTCCATGAGACCAAAGACTCTGAAAGAAAAACTAATAATAATGCAATTCTTTTAATGTTGATGTGTTTTTATAGGTTGGGAAAGGTTGCTGCGCTGCTCTGAAAGCACTGGGTGCTATTGTTTATGTGACAGAAATTGATCCAATTTGTGCTTTACAGGCCTGGTAAGGTGACCGTTTTCAAAGCTTATTGCAGCTACCTGCCCAAACTTGATTTGCTTTCACTAAGTGAACTAGGGATTAATAGAGCCTGTAAGGTGATACTGAGCCACCCACTTAGGTGATGAGCTGTTTTACTTCCACGCATTTGATATGGTGGACACTTAGTTATGAATTAATTTCTGCATTGTTTAACCAGTGATCTTTTTAGCTGTGTTTTCCTCTGGGAAAAATTCTATCTAATTGATATTTCTCAATTCTGATCATAGTTGAACTATGCAAGAATTGTTCAGCAAAGAAGCATTTCCTTTCTTAATTTCAAGAATACTGTAGGCTGCAAATGATGTGGTTAGATTTATTTATTTTATTCTCTATTTGCTACTAAACTGCAAGCATTTTTGCGGATATCACACATGAGAAAAGGATTATTTCAAAAGGTACATTAACCTTTTTGGTTGTGAGAGTGTACATATAAAAGATGCACTTGCTTTATTCCTTATCAATTTTTGCAGATGTTTTTGGGGGAAGCTTTTTTTCTTGTCCAATTGGATATTGGAGTCCTGAAGGTAAGGGTCAACATAGAGTTTTCATCAGCCAGGATGTCATCACTGAAACTTGGCTTTTCCTCATCTAAAATCAATGCCCTGCTTCTAAAAGGGTTCACTGGAAAATAATTTACTGTTTTCTTTTCTCTTTCCTATGCCAACGTTTCTAAGCAAGTTTTAGTGCTCCAAAAAAGACACATATATCAGCTAATTGCACATAAACCAGCAATCAGACCTTTGATCTTCTGGTTGTGTCATGTTGGATGATGCACCTACACTGATGCTGTGTTATGTGATTGTTCAATAAATTACCTGGCCATCAATCTAACATACAGAAGATCTTTCAAATACTTCCAAGTAACTGAGCTAAATCCACGAAATGCTTCTAGGACTCATCAAATACTTAGCTTCTGGTTGAAGTTAGAACCAGCAATTGTTTTAAGATTTTTGAGAGCAGTACAAGAGGTGTTAGGGCAAAATAGGAGTCCACTTATCATGTGTAATAGGAAAAAGATTCATTAAACTTGCCCTCACTCTGCACCTGAAAGGGGTTTCTTAGAATTCTTGTGATTAATTTCAATACTGGTTAGCTAGAATATTCCTAGATTCAGCCATCGGTCCCTGTTGGTAGCTGATTTTCAGCCACTGTATTTCCCCTAGATCAGGAAAGGAGAAACATCACGGGTTACGGTTCCTGAGCACAATCCAATGATTGCCATTGCGAGTAGGACTGTGTTCAGCAGTAATTCTTCATACAGGTGATTTCACCGGTAATATGAGGAATGGTCACTTGGGATATGTGCTCAAGTTAGTTGACACCAGTGGAATTGTATCCCTGTATGAATTAGTGACTTCTGTTGGGAAGAGGAGAAACCTGGCAGGTAGAACACAAATTTAAAGAAAATAATAGAATTACTAATATTTAGATATACTTAGGATTGCCACATCACATGACAAAGTAGTTTAATTCTGTGGTGATATATTAAATCAAAGTCTGTGGAGAAGTTCTGACAAATACTTGTGCAGTTAACTGTTATACAATCCCTTGGACTGTTAACCATTTCTTCTGCTAACCAATCAACGTCATTTGATTGATGTACATTTTAACTTCTGGTGATACAAGTAAATTGCCAAGTTGAACTGCAAGTACATGAAGCAAATTAAGAAGGCAACGGTATGTTAGTTGTTATTGCAAGGTGGTTAGAGAATAAGAGGAAGAATTTCCACAATTTCATAGAACTCTGGTGAAAGTGTACAGAACTATGTATCTCTTTTGTCTCCTTATCCAAGGAATTATACAGCTCTTTAAAACCTTGTAACAAAGGTCTACTAGAATGACTCCTGTGATAAGATGGAGTAGAATGGGCCTGTATTTCCTTGAGTTTGGAAAAATAACCTCATTGAAAATACAAAACTGAAGGTTTGACAGGGTAGATGCCAAAAGGGTCCCCTGACTATAGAGGACAGAACTAGGAGTTAGAATCTTGGGTTAACATTGGTTTAAAATAGGCTTGATGTTCACCATTTAGGAAAGAGATGAGGGCAAGTTTCTTCACTGAGCATTGAGTCTTTAGCATTCTCTACCTTTCAGTGTTATGCCTGCTGTGTCAAAAAGTATATTCAGGATTGCGATTGCTACAACTTCAGATATTAAAGAAATTGAGGAATGTGAGAATAGGGTGGGAAAGTGGAGTTAATATAGAAACTTAGACATAATCTTATAGAATCACTTGCTCCTGTTCCTAATTCTTATCTTTTGTATGCCTCCCAGTACTAGTCAATACAACTGACACGACTAGCTAGAGAAGCAAATTTTGTGGATCTCAATCTAAATGGATTATGGACCACTAGGGTGGTTGTTGTTGTTGTTATTATTGTCGTTATTGTTGTTAGTATTAACATTTAAAGTAAAAGTGACATTTATCATTTGAATGCCTTAAGAGTAGGCATTCAGCTTGTCAAACCTCCGTTGCCATTTAGTACAATCATGACTGATCAAACACTTCAGTGGGTAAAAGGCATAACCTGTTCATATAATCCTTTTGCCATAACTAATCAAATCTATCAATATACTTTAAACATACTGTCAGATTGAGCTTAGGGTAGAGAATTCCAAAGATTCACAACTTTGAATGAGAGGATTTCTCTTCAATTTGGTCCTGAATGGCATCTGTGTTTTATTTTAAAATTGTGTCTCCAGGTTCTAGACTCCTGAGCCAGTGAAGCCACTTACCTGCGTCTATCCATCTATTCCTTCTAAGTATTTTGTAGCTTTCAATTAGATCAGCTGTCACTCTTAACTCTAGCAAATACAGGCCCAGTTTGCCCAGTCTCCCTCTTTAGGACAGTGTGCGATCATAAGGCTAAGTTTGGTGAACCTTGGTTTTGCAGCCTCAATGACGATACCTTTCCTGTGGTAAGGAGGATAAAACAGTGTAAAATTCACCAGGTGCAATCTGACCAAGTTTCAATACAATTGAAGCAAGTCTTCACTACTCCTAAACTCGAACCCTCTTAAGATAAAGTCTAACATTCCATTAACCATTCTACTAGTTTCACAGTTATTTGATTAAAGTTGTAAGTAGCTGACCTTTCTGTCAAAAGTAAAGACTGCTCAAACTAAGGCATTTTACTGCTTTCTTTTATCATGAACTTTCTTCCTCCGTAGTATGGATGGATTTCGTGTGATGAAATTGAATGAAGTTGTACGACAGGGAGACTTGATCATTACCTGCACAGGTACTGGAGGGATGCAGTTATAGTTACAGCACGCACAATGTCTAAATTAGCAACCAAGTTTGCCACTGTGATTGTAAGTATTGCTTTAAAAATGAGACTTGGAATGGAGGAAGGTATTGAAAATGGTGACAGAAATGAAACAAATAGTAGATTAATTTTCTGAATGTACTGTTTAGATGTGAACCAAGTGGGTTGAGATAAAATTGGGGCTTTTGCACTTATTAAATGCAATCCTTTCATGTAAATATTTTTTAATTTAATCAAAGCACTTTGGAATGGGATTATTTTTAAAAGTCACATGTATTGCATTTTTCTTTTTTGTTTTCCCTTTTTTTTTTCTTTCTTTCTTTCTTACAAGAAGCAAGTGGCCAGTACATTCTGGCTAGTTGATGCACAATAAAACATGTCATGTTTTCAAATTTATTTTTTAATGATTTAGCTAATGATTAAGCAACAGCAGAATTACGTTCCTCAGTCATCAACTGTGAATAGGCATTGATGCATTTTGTGAATTACATTTTAATTTGTACTAATGGCATAAATGGCTGTGTGGCTGTACTTATTACATAGCTTCTTTTTAAAATGGATATGTTCTATTTTTAGGTAATAAGAATGTTGTTACTAGGGAACAACTTGACCGAATGAAAAACGGTTGCATTGTCTGCAATATGGGGCATTCCAATACTGAAATTGATGTGGTAAGGAAAAGTTTTATAATAAACTTGGATTGTAAAATTGGAACCCTTGAAAATGGATTGCAGTTACCTAGAAAGAACAGATTAAAATAGTTTGTATGTGGAACTAGCATGCAGTTTGACAAAATTGGTCTGGCTTCTTCGATTATGAGATTATTACAAGTGTGATAGAATCATAAGAACGCAGAGTCCATTGATTCCATTTCATTTCTCCATATAGCAGTTCATTCAGGCCTACTCCGCTGCTCAGTCCCCACAACTCCAAGTATTTTTTTCCCTGAATTGCCCTGTTTTGGCAGTGCTATGGGTCAATCAATTACTGGACTCCAACCCAAAGTAATTTGAGGAATTCCTAATATATTTTCAAATAGATAAGATGTACATACCTGGAGGCACGACTGCAACCTCTGCCTCTCTAGGTGATGGATGTCGTACACCTGAGAGATACTGCTCACAAAACCTGAGTCTTAATTCTGTTTTTAATCTGTACCTAGCACTGTTTGACACTGGTCCTCTGTAATCTTCTTTTAGTAAACTGTCTAATAATGACTTTGAGAATTTTAAATGTTTCTGGCATTTTTGAATTTTATTCTTATTTTGTGAAAACAAATATATAAGCATCACAATTTGCCACTTTAAAAGCTTTTGCCTAAATAAATTATTGATTAAACAAAAGATGAATTAATTTTGAATCTAAGTAATTAGAAATGTAAAGTGGAATGGTTTTTGTTCTTTTGTCCAATCGTTTTTATTGACCCATATTCTTTAATATTTGTTTCTGTTTCTGTTTGTACACTATCTAATGTAGGCAAGCCTACGTACTCCAGAACTGACATGGGAGCGTGTACGGTCTCAAGTTGATCACGTGATTTGGCCAGATGGGAAGCGTGTTGTGCTTTTAGCTGAGGTTTGTGCGCTTTATACTGCTTCTAATGTTAGAATTAGTACAAGAATATGTTCAAGATAGCTTATTCCAGCCTTAAGAATGATAATATTGAGTGTACAAAGTGCTGGAAATCACAAAGAAGGCATTTATTTTCTCTATTACTGAAGGCACTGATTTTTTTTAATCTGGGTATTGTTCTATTGGTGTGGGCAGCTCCTTGATAGTTTATTCAAGCAACCTCTTAGTAAACTAAAAGGTAAAAAAACAAACACTGCGTACTTTAACCAGTTGCTAAGAGGTAAACTTGTTGTCCACGTTAATCCATGCCTTGATTTTGTTTTTTCATTCCCACCCCATCACCGCTGCCATCACCTCAAAGCTCACATGACAAGTCTACAAAACTGGAGCTCTAAGGTTGTCACTTTAATCCTCCAAATCATGGCATAGGCAATTGATTCCCACAGAGTTAGTTTTTAAATGCAGGGTGTGACCATTTCTGGATCCTGACCCCTGTGGTTTCAGGAGGTTTGCCAACTGCTTGTCATTTAGTAGTGAAGAATGAAGCCATTCAACCTATTAGCCATGCCAGATCTGGGTGGCGCACTGCAATCCCTGAATCTATCTCTGTCTAGCAAGTTTAACTAAACAACTACATTAGAACAATATTGGCTTAACTGCCACTGGATCAAATTCCTGGAGCATCCTTTCAAAGAGCATGGCATGTGACTGCAGCAGTTCCAGGAAGTGTCCAATTAACAAGCTATCTTCAGGAGCCTAAAGATAGCAGCTGTGCTATGTAGAACAAGGTGCAGAGCTGGATGAACACAGCAGGCCAAGCAGCATCATAGGAGCAGAAAGGCTGACGTTTTGGGCCTAGACCCTTCATCAGAAAAAAAGCTGTGCTATGTAGCTGGCCAGCACCATCACTGGGAGAGATGGGTGCTACCACTGTGGCTGAGAGAGAGAGAGCACGGCACCTCAAGATGTGGTCACCGTTTGAAAGCATTATGAATTAAAATAGTGTGACCACGCAATAAAGCTGACAGGCCATCATTGTGGACAGGAAGCCATCTGTAACATGATTCAGGGGATGCAATTCACAAGTTTAAAGATTCAGTTTTTTAGATTTGTTATCTAAACCTTTTAGAGTGAGAGATAGAAAAATCAACAAGTGGATTGATTTGGATAGCAAGCTTGCCTCCTAGCAACTGATTATAGAGTTGGATAAAATGAAGTCTCAAAGCAGAGCCTTGGCACTTGCTCTGGTCTGAATTCTCTGCATTGGGCTTGAGTTGGGAAATGAGCCATTCTTGAGAAGTGAAAGCACTAATTAAACTGATGAAACCTTGTATCGTAAGATTTTCAGGAATTGTCTCGAACTTGCAGTAAAGTATTTCAAGAGAGGAGTTGTCATTATTGCTGCCCACAAGAATTCTACGATAGCTCATTACATGGTACCTATGTGCATCTTTTGCATGTTTTCTGTGGATCACTTGTGATGCTTGCCAGTAACTCACTTGCCTGTCATGTGAGCTAAGAAACAGTGTTCAGTGAAAACCCATGTACACTCTAAAATTCCAGTTTAACAATTCCTTTTTTTTTGTTTTGTCCCTTGCTTCAGGGTCGCCTTCTGAACTTGAGCTGTTCAACTGTTCCCACTTTTGTGCTTTCAATCACAGCAACCACTCAGGTAGGTGACTAAATGGATATCTCTCAAAATCACCTAATTGCAATGTAGCAAAGGCCTCCTTTAATATGTTGGTGGTTGATTCAGAATGGTGCTGTATTTCATGTATTCTGTTTTTTAAATTTTCTGGGGTGTCAAGGTTACTGCAAAGGCCCATCCTTGTTGCCCATCCCTAACTAAACTGAGTAACTTGCTCAGCCATTTTAAAGGGCAGTTGCAAGTTAACCACAAAGCTGTAGGTCTGGAGTCACATGTAGGTCAGACCAAAAAAAAAGGAAGATTGCCTTCCCTAAAGAACCTTAGTAAACAATTGATGATATTGTTACTATTGCTCAAACTAGACTTCAATTCCAGATTTATGAATTGAATTTCTAAATTCCACTACCTGCTGTGGGAGGTTTGAACCACATCGCCAGAGTGTTAATTTGAGTTTCTGGATTGCTAGTCCAGTGACATTATGAATACATCACTATCCTTCCCTCATTCTAATCATATGACATATGGTGGCCTAGCATTACTCACCTCTTGGGCCTTATAAATCTGTAAAATGTTATGATAATTATGGACAGCTGTTCAGTAATAACAGTGCTGTTAAGTAAATTCAAAAACAAGCGCCAGTTTAAAATACCAGGTCTCTGGCCACCTTGTCACAACAGTACCAGGTCTTGTGTTGTCATTACTGAAATAGTAAATCCCTGTTTAATGGACAATGAAGGTAAGCAACTGTGTTTTACAAAAGTGAATATTCCAGGTGGCTTAGCAAATATGGGGCTTTTGATCAATCCTGTTTATCACCAGTTCAGAATTTCTGCTGATGTCTTTACAGGCACTGGCTCTGATAGAGCTCTACAATGCTCCTGAGGGACGTTACAAACAAGATGTATATCTTCTGCCTAAAAAGATGGGTATGTGCTATTGTGCTTCACATTGTAAAGCTGCATCTTAGATAAAAGGACTGCAATAATGCATGCAAAGCTTTTCTGTGACACCCATAACTAGAAATTCTAGAACAGGTTTCGGAGATTGTTTTACTGTCCCAATTAGTACTTTAGTCAACAACTGGGAGATGCAATTCTGAGTCCATAAAGTTACTTGTCAGTTGTTCAATATATTTAGTAATTAATTCTGTGTAAAAATCTTGTCTCCTTACAGATGAGTATGTTGCCAGTTTGCATCTGCCAACCTTTGATGCACACTTGACAGAATTGACTGACGATCAGGCAAAATATCTTGGCCTGAACAAAAATGGACCTTTCAAGCCTAATTACTACAGGTACACTTGTATATAATGTACCTTAACCTCATTGCATGTATTTATTGGAATTGTTTAAGATTTACCATGTGAATTTATTAATGGTAATGACTTGAAACAGAATTGCCCCTGACCATAGGATTCTTGCATTGCAAAAAATTGAACATTCTGTGGTTTTGCTTGTGTAACTCATTTATTGCCGTTGTGGTTCAGAGTGGCAGGCAGTAACTAGTGGGGTGCCACATGGATTGGTGCTGGTACCCCAGCGATTTACAATATATATTAATGATTTGGATGAGGGAATAGAATGTAACATCTCCAAGTTTGCAGGTGATTCCAAGTTGTGTGGGAGGGTGAACTGTGAGGGTGCAGAGATTCTACAGCATGACCTGGACAAGTTAGGTGAGCGGGCAAATTAATGGCAGTTGCAGTATAATTTGGATAAATATGACGTTATTCATTTCGGAAGCAAAAACAAGACGGCAGATTACTACCTGAGTGGCTGTAAATTGGGAGAGGGGAGTGTGCAGCAGGACCTGGGTGTCCTTGTGTGCACCAGTCGCTGAAGGTAAGCATGTAGGTGCAGCAGGTGGTAAAGAAAGCAAATGGTATGTTGGCCTTCATTGCAAGAGGTTTCAAATATAGGAGCAGGGATGTATTGTTGCAGTTATACAGAGCCTTGCTGAGGTCACACCTGGAATATTGTGTGCAGTTTTGGTCTCCTTTTTCTGAGGAAGGATGCTCTTGCTCTTGAGGGAGTGCAGTGAAGGTTTACTCGACTGATTCCAGGGATGGTGGGTCTGACATATGAGGAGAGATTGACTAGGTTAGGATTGTTTCCGCTGGAGTTCACATGAATGAAGGGGGATCTCATAGAGACATATAAAATTCTGACAGGACTGGACAGGGTAGATGCAGGGAGGATATTCCTGATGGTGGGTGTGGCCAGGGGTTGCAGTCTGAGGATTTGGGGTAGACCATTTTGGACGGAGATGAGACATTTCTTCACCCAAAGAGTGGTGAGCCTGTGAAATTCATTAGGACAGGGTGTATTTGATGCCAAAGCATTGATTTGTATTCAAGAGGTGGCTAAGTATAGCACTTGGGGTGAATAGGATCAAAGGTTATGGGGAGAAAGCAGGATTAGGCTATTGAGTTGGACGATCAGCTGTGATCCTGATGAATGGCAGAGCAGGCTCGAATGGCCGCCTCCTGTTCCTATCTTCTATGTTTCTATGACACAAATTCTAAAATATGACGGTACTTCATTGACAGAAATCCACATTAAGCTTTACTTAATCAATGGAGCATTGCAGGGAGCTCAGCACACTGAACATGATGCTTCCCTTCATAAATTTGTATATTCACAAAATAATGGCCATTTCCTCAAGTTAACATCTGAAACTATTGTATTAACCCAAGAAATCCCAAAAGAACTGACATCACCTCATTTCTGATGCCCAGGCTCCTAGTCATCATGTGGCAATCCTATTATTAAATAAGCTGGTGGAAACATGGAAGCACCGAGTTGCACCACACTGCAGCATTTTTGTGCAAAACTAAACCCAGAAAATGCTAGATCGTTGTATTTAATCTATAAATTTTTGTGAAGTTACCTGCAAGCAGGACATTGTTTGAACAGCTGTAGCTATTTTAGTGCTGCATAAGCAGTAAATGGACCTCTCTGCTTCGTTTCCTTGTATAACTAAGGTATCTTATGCTATCAGTTACATTATATACTTTGTAATCCTTAATTGTTTGGTCAGTAATCAATTGACTGGGTAGTCAAAAAATTTTACTTAGTCTGCAGGTTTTAGTGTAGCAACTTTCCCTATAAGGAGTACAATAATAGGTAAAATTATCAGCGTTCAAATGGAGGAGGCAGAACTTCTACCATGATAACTATTGACGGAATCGTCAAGATAACTGTTCACAACATATTTTTTCCCTCTTTTAAAGGTATTAGATGGTGCAGAACCAAAACGATCTGAAGAAGGACCAAGTTGTCTGAAACCTCAATAGAAGAATGTATAGTAGGAGCCGGCCTAGCTGGTTAAATGCTCAACAAACTTATTCAAAGAGCATTTCTGCAATCCTAGGCTGCTTATTCTTTTAAGCCTGGTTTTTTTTTTTTGCTTGCATTTTCTTTTCTATACTCCTTTAATTATAAGTGAGTGTTTTGATTTTCTAACTTACTGCCGGGGGATGTAACTGTCATGTTATGTTGTGATAGCACAGTCTCCATAAAATCACTTGAGCCTGTATATGATTGACGTGGAAACAAGTAGTACTGTAATAATTTAAAAAAAAATCTTTTTGTCTGCTTTGTCTTTCCTATTTTGTTTTAGTTTAGAACCTGGGCTTTAAGCTCAATTCAAAATGTTCCAAAGGATTCTCTGGTTTTAACTTTTATTTTTAAAGAAATCTTTTCATGGAGGCAATCAAAACCAATTTGGTATTTGCCATTATAGTTGTACGATACTCATATCTTTTCAGGAACCAGCGCTGACTGTAATAAATGATGAGTATCAACTTTTAAACAAACCTGATTCAATACTAAACCATTGTAAATATCACTGTGTAGCCAAAAAAATGTGAATGGTTTTGTTCATGCAGAATTTGAGTTCACCTCTCTCTTATGCAATGTTAGCCTTACTTATGCATTTTAATATATTGACACCACTAGATGTTACATTTCAGGACACATTATTATCAATCAGGCAAAGAAAATTAAAGCTTACATCTGATTTAACAGGGAACATAATTTAAGGTGTCAGTATTCTAATTCTAGATGGGTATATTTTGACAGAATCATATTAGAGCAAGTTTGTCATAAGATTGTGCCAAATGGAGTTTGTGTTGACAAGCATGAATCTCTGCTTGAGTCTTGATAGCTTCATATTCCACAAACACTTGCTGTAAAACAAACAAAAAAGCATTTCTGCAATTATGTACTTTTGTGATAAGGCTTTTTTTTTTTGCAAATGCTTTTCTTGGACCATGAACAAGCACTGGATTCTGCTGGTGACCTCTCTTAATACTTGTGGGTTTTATGCCAATGAGCCTGTCTAAGGCTATATTCCTAACAGTGGGACCAGAAAATACTTTCACTCCAGTTACATGAAAAAGATATATTTTAAAAAAAAATAAAGAATTTAAAAATATTGTAGAAACATGACGAATTTTTCAATCAAAAATTGCTTCTGTGTTGTCTTATGGGGATTCACCTGGGTGAGAATGATTCTGATTTTGAGAATGTTGAGTCTCCTGATATTGAACCATAAATGGGAAGCATTTGAACTCTGGTGAAATGTGCTTCCTGCTTTGTGTTCTTTTGTGTTTTAATGTTAGATTATTATATAGGAAAGGAGAAGGGAATAAATTTCCCTTACAATATTTTTATGACTACCATTGTCTCAGTTTGGAGTGATGTATCTGGTTTGTGATGCAGATTTCAAAGCATGATCACACTAGTGTGATCAAACTACATATGGAGAGCTCATTCAGATCATCACTTTCTGGGAAGAGTTATTCAATTAGGCCCTCTGCAGTCCACTGTTTCTCCATCACCTACAAATTTTGCCATGTTCCCGATTTAAAAACAACTGAGTTTTTAAAAAAGCCTTTTGTTTCTCCCCACCAATCCAGTATATTAATTTGGTTCCCTTGCTGAATGTACATGCCTTTTCTGATGGGTCTAACCCAGCCTTGCCTAAAAATGTTCTGACCATGCTTTATTCTTGTGGATTTCTTCTCATGTTGTGTACCACACAAATTTTCTTTTGGCATCACCACAATAATTCTTGGGTTTTTGGATACTACTCTTTCATTGCAAGGACGCACATTGCAAGATGAGGAAAGTAGAGTTCTGAGGAAGGGTCACATGACCCCTGAAACGTTAACTCCACTGATTTCTCTCTCCACAGATGCTGCCAGACCTGCTGAGCTTTTCCAGCAATTTCTGTTTTTGTCAATATATATTATGGATTGAATTGGTCTCTCTTTAAACAATGGGGTACTGATCTTGTGTCTGTCCTTGTTGAGAAGGTGTTTTTTTTTTTTTTTTTTTTTTTTTTTTTTTTTTTTTTTTTTGTTTTTTTTTGTTTTTTTTTTGGTTTGGTTTGGTTTGGTTTGGTTTGTTTGTTTGTTTGATCGATCTTGATTGATGAGTACATACGTTTTGAAAGTTTTGTCTCATGCGGGTAGGAATCTACAAGCAGCAGTCTTACCAATAGTGCATCATCTTACTGCCAATGATGAGAAGTCAGTTGTTGAGAAGTCTGATGTACAGAGCCCTGGGAATTAAAGTAGGATGTAAAGGCATGGTGGTGAACGTTAGTAGACTAGTCTCGCTTTGAAATTAGGAATTCTTGACCATAGTAAAATGAGCTGTGAGATGACATTGTACCTCCAACTCTGATTAATAATAAATGTAGCTGTTTTTCCTCCTCTATCATACATGCTGTGTTACTGGGCAATTTAAAAACTCATTGCAGTCCTACCTCAATGTCAACTTCCGGTATATAATTCTTAATGCTATCTTGTTTGTTGGTAATTAAACTTTGTCCAGTGTGTATTGAGTTTTAATATTTGATGAAGGCTAATGGATTAAAGGTACAACACTGAAAGCTTTCAGTGTGAATTTAAAAATAGTAATTTGTTAGTGGAGTTGATAAGTGCGCTTGTTTTGACTGTGGTGATTTTTTTTTTCTCCAAAGTTGTTGAGATACCTTCCGGAGAAAGTAAGAGGAGGAGGAGAGAGAACTGTTTGGTGGATTAGACATTTTGTCTTTATCAGAAATTGCCACCACTGCCCATCTGGAAATGGAAGTGATAGCTTTTTAAATGGAGGCATGCCAGAGCAATTACGACCATTTTTAACAGGCATGAATTTTACTATTTAACAGTTTAGCTGCATTTACAGCATTGCTGCTGTGTTACGCAGTACTGTAGAATTTGTGTTATGTCTTAAATGTGAAAATTAATGTTTATTTTCACAAACTTAGACCTCAAATTAGAATTTGTTTGCGAGGTGAGGAATTGTCATCTCGGTGGTTTTAAACACTGCAAATGTTAATCCACAATTAAAACAGAAAATGCAGGAAACATCGGCGTTAAGCCCTTTCTTGATGACTTATTGTCAGAACGGGAAATTTTTCGATGAAAAATACGTCTCAAGTTGATTTATGCAGGAAAGATGTATAGGTGAGAACACTGATAGGATAGAGGACAGGAGTGAATAAATGACGAAAGTAATGAATAAGGAAAACTAAAATTTAGTGACAGACAGACCAAAAGAGGATATAGTTAGCTACCGTAGAGGAGCAGGAGGCAGTATTGAAAATCTGGCAAAGAAAGGAGGCCTCTGACCTAGGAATGTGGCATCAGGAAGGTAGGAAAGCCCCAGGGCTTCGGACCATCCCTAAGTGACTGGTTTGTAGATGTTGAGAACCAGGTATTTTCATTGAATGTCCTCTCTGCACGCTAAGATGCATTGGTCTTGCCCAAATATCAGCCTTTGCTAATAAAAGGATAAGTATCGTGGCTTCAATATGACTGTAAAAGATCAAGTTGCATTGGAGGCAGTTCAGAGGTGATTCATTAATTCCAGAGGTGAGGGTTTTGTCTTTTGAGATGGATTGAGTGGTTCAGGCTTATTCTCTCTGGATTTTAGTAAAAAGCGAGGAGATCTAATTGAGGTATATGAGATGCTGAAGGGGATTGATGAAGTAGACATGGAGAAGATGTTTCCTTGCGGGGCAACCTAGAAAGGCCATATTCCTATGGTCAAGAATTCCAATTGAGAAGACTGTGCAACTTCCTCCAGTAAATTGGTGCTGCTTCCCTCTCTTGCCCAGAATTCGAAAGGTTTATCTGTTTCGCTTCCAATGTCTATCCTGCTGTCACCTTCACCTGGTCTATCTCTGACTCTTCCTTTCCCTCCCTTGACATCTGTCCCATTTCTGGGGATAGGCTGGCCACTAATATCCACGACAAACTCCCCAACTCCCACAGTTACCTTGACTACAAGCCCTCGTACCCTGCTTCCTGTAAAAACTCTATTCTGTTCTCCTACTTTCTCTGTCTCTGTCACATGTGTTCTGAGGATGCCAACTTCGACAAGGGATTCTGAAATGAATCCTCAAAAGAGGATTCTTAAACATTGTGGTTGACAGGGCCCTCAGCCAGGTCCGACCTATTTCCTACACCTCGACCCTTGCCCCCCTCTTCGCTCCCAAACAACATTAGGGCCTTGCTTGTCTTTACCTGCTGTCCCACCAGCATCAGCATTCATAGGATCATTTTACCTGTCATTAATGCCACCACCAAACACAATTTCCCCTCCTTTCCCTTGTCAGCTTTCTTCATGGATTGTTTCCTCTGGGACTCCTTCACTTCCAATGCCTCTCCATGACCCTATGGCACTTTCCCATACAATCGCAGAAGATCTCCCTTCACATTGTCCGAGATCCCAGACACACCTTCCAGGTGAAGCATTGCTTTACCTCACTTCACTCAATCTAGTCTACTGTATTTGCTGCTCACAGTGTGGTCTCCTGTACATTGAAGTGCAGACTGGGTAACCACTTCGCAGGATACCTATGTGTGTCTACAAAAAAGACCCTGAGCTTCTAGTTGCCTGTCACTTCAAAGTATTAGTGTTCCCTGGTCCACATCTCTGTCTTGGGCTTGCTGCAGTGCTGCAGTGCTCCGGCAAAGCTCCGAGCAAGCTGGTAGAACAGAATCTCATTTTCCACTTGGGAACTCTGCAGCCTTCTGGATTTAACATTGAATTCGACAATTTTAGGTCTTGAGGCACCTTCTTCCATGTTCTCACCCCCAACCCTCTCACACCAGGTCTTGTCATCACGTGGGCTGCAACCTCACAATACCCATTGTCAGCTATTAGTAGTCCCCATTAGTAGCTATTCATTCCCCTACATGGACCTTTACCAACTCTGTCCAACTGTTTATCTCTCTGTTTGGCCCCTATCTCCACCTATCATTTACTCTTCCCCCATTCTCCCTCACTCCATCTTCTGCATAAATATCCACCATTTCTTAGCTGCCATCACTTCTGAAGAAGGGTCACGGGACCTGAAATGTTAACTCTGATTTCTGTCTACGGCTGCTTCCAGACCTGCCATTCAGCTTCCAAACAGCAATTTGTTGTTTTTTTGTTTCTGGAATGGCAGACTGTGTAGTTTTAGGATAAGGGGTAGCCAATTTAAAACAGATGAGGATAAATTAATTCGCTCAGGATTTTGAATCTATGGAATTCACTACCCCAGAGTGTGATGGATGCCAGGACCTTGAGTAAATTTAAAAAGGAGATAGACTTCTTTAATTAGTACTGGATTGAAGGGTTATTGGGAGCCAGCGGGAAAGTGGAGTTGAGGCCGAGATGAGATCCGCCATGATTTTATTGAATGGTGGAGCAAGCTGGTGGGGATGAATTCCTGTTCCTAGTTCTTAGACTGTCTAAATTTATTTTAAAAAAACTGACCAAAAAGAAGCACAATAGATGTACTAACTAAACTCACCCATATACTTCTTCAGCCAGTTTCTGTTTTTGTAGATTATTTTGAAGGCTGCAGAAAGGATCAACTGGCCTCTGTAGTACTGTTAACATCTTTCAACCTAATCAGTTCCTTTCTTGGTGTGTCTGTGGGAGATTATTTCTTGGAGCATGAAGATATTCTAATAGAAATAGGAGTTTGTTTTCTTGTGTTGAAGTGATTTTTGTTTTGATTCAGCTTAATGATGGGGCAGTCTTATATCTGACTTGTACATGATACCAATTTCTTTTAAGTAGGATTTTTGAGCTCCTTGTATACATGTGTGTATAAAAGTAATTATCCCAATGAAAAACAATGATAACTAATCCAGTAATGGTGTTGCAACAAGCTTACAGAGCTGGAGAAATTGATTATTTCATACTGGGTACTGTTGTTTCTTGCACAGTTGAGGGAGGGAGGTCAATAAAGCATGGCCCAGGATGATAAACATTTTGTTCCTCCATGAGCCTGTACTGAATAAAAGAAAGATAACTCCAAATGTATTTGCAAATAACTAATTTGGTCTTTGCCTGTTGAGGTCCTCAAAGATCCATTTTAGCCATACCAAAGGATTCAATACATATAACACGATAGTCCTCCACAGCGGCTC